AGATCAGAGACATAAAGGCAACAGCAAGCCAAGCCATCTCCAACCGCAAAATGCCAGTGGAACGGCAGTAAAAAAAATGCTTTATTGCTCGTTCTGCGGAGTTTTTTCAACATTTGTCACACACGCGGCGGCGGCGTATCGGCGGCGTGCAAAGCCTTTCGGGAAGAAAGTCCCCGAAGCTGCTGTGGAGGGCACCGCCCGGCACCGCCCGGCACCGCCACCGCCGGACGGACAAGCGGGGCCGCGGCTTGGGGCGCTATCGTGTGGAGCACGCCGACGACACCCCGCCAACGCCGCATGCAGTGCAGCAGCGTGCCGGTGGCGGCGGCGGCGCCAAGGGGTCGGTGCCCCGTCCGGCCCTCTCACCCTCCAACCCCCCCCCCCCCCCCCCCCCACTCGGCGCGACGCAGCAGCTGGCGGACAGGCTCGCGTGAGGTCGGCGTCGTCCTGGACGGGTCCCGGACACACAGGCACCGCAACCGCCGCCGCCGTCGTTGTGTGCCCAGGGTGGCCCAGGGCAGCCAGCGCCTCGGCCCGCACTCGGCACACAGTGTGCCACACACTTGAGTCATGCGAGGTGCCGCTTGCAGTGTGGCTACCGAAACACGGAAACACGGAGACGAAACGCCGCCGGCCGGACCCTTGAGCCGTACCGGCTCGCCGGGGCCCGCCGGCCCCCGGCTCGCCGGGGCCCGCCGGCCCCCGGCTGCCTTCGAGGGCCACTGATCCAACCAGCTATGACAATACAGCGCCGTCGCTCCGTCCCTCTCGCACTCATGGGGTGGTCCGTCGGGGTGCGAGGGAGACAGAGCAGCGAAGCACCCTTTGGAATGAACCTGCTGGATCTGTTGGAGCTGGAGCGTCGCCGAGAAACTGCCCCGTCCGACGGGGAGAGGCAAAGAGCGCGCACAAACACAAGGCCCGCTCATCCTCTTGGCCGCAGCCGACTGATGTCGCGCATCGCCATCGGCGGTAGGCCCTCGCCTTCCTGCCTGCCTCCGCCCTGGCCGCCCTGGCGCACTGCAGGACCGGCCCGGAGATTTGAACGCTGGGCCGCGGTGCGCAGTGCAGTGCCGCGCGGTGCGCACCGCGACGATGACGACGGACGACGGCAGCCTAATGCAGCCTCGCCAGTCCTCGGCAGCTGCACCTATTTGTAATCCGGACCAGAAGCCAAACACGGCGCCGGGGCAAACAGCCCACTAAGTAGTTTGCTCAGACAAACGACATTAATGTGGATCGTGCGTGTGTGTGCGTGTGTGTGTGTGTCCCTGCGTGTGTGTGTGTGTGTGTGTGTGGTGCCGGCAAGGGCGAGCGTCCTGCATCCTCCCGGCAGACGAAAAAGGAAATCGACGGGAAACAAATAGAGCATCCTGCAAAGGCCGCCAGCCCTCGGCCGGCCCGCAGGCAGCGGAGAGCAGCATCCTCCAGGACGGCCGACGCAGTGACTCCAGGGACAAGGGCTGTTTGAGTTGCTGCAGCGCTCGCAGGTGGAGGTTCGCCTCGAGGTTCCCCAGTCGATCACTCCGCACCTCGCCGAGCGGATCCTTGGATGACGCCGGCAGTGGCGCCACGCCGGCAGTGATCCCGCAGTTCGGCCGTCCATCGGTCTCCCTCGCACCGACACGGCCGGCCTTGAGTGCGAGAGAGAGGGAGAGAGGATCCTCCCGATGGACGCGCGGCGAAAGGGAAAGGGTTGCCGCGCTGCTGCCACCACACTGCCGCGGGCTGGCGGGCTGGCGGGCGGCGGGCCGCGCCGTGAGACTGATGAGCCCACAGGTGAGCCTGCCATCCGTTACGCGGGGGGGCGGCGGGGGGGGGGGGGGGGCGGGGCGGCGGCGAGGGACGCGAATACGAATACGCCCCCTCGGTATACGCGTCGCGGCTTCGCGGCTCCGAGGCTCCGAGGCTTGTGCCCATCCCCGCGACATGTTTATATTTTCGGGCTCATTTTTCTCCCGGGACGACCGGGGCCGGGCCGGGGCGTTAGCGGCCGGCCCGCTTGGCAGTGCTGGCAGCGGCGGGCGGAGGCCGCGTCACCTCGCCAGCCTCGCCAGGTAGGCGTCGCGACGCCTCGCGACGCCTCGCGACGCCTCGCGACCGACGACCCAGGTGTAATGTGGCATGCGCCGCGGCGCCGCGGTACACGACCGCCGGACAGTGGACAGTGTGCTGGTCGTTCTGTCTCCCTCGCGCCCTGAGGCGCGGCCGGGCAGCGCGAGCGCGACGGAGAGGTGCCCTCCGGAGGCAGCCTCGGGGAACAAACCGGCCGCCAATGGAACGGAACGTGAAGCCCGCGGGCCCAGGGCAGGCCCAGGGCAGGCCGCAACACGAGTCACTTTGCAACCCCATTGAGCACCGGGCAGCCGGGCACTGACTCGCATTGGCACGCATTGGCGCCCAGTTGGCGCTCCTCCCTCCCCGTCTGGAAAGCGATTTCGCCACGCAAGCAGCCAAAGTCCCACGGTGGCGGAAGGGCTGCTGGCGGCAAGGCCCGAGGCAAGGCCGGGCAAGGCTGACCTCAGCCTGCCTCCAAAGCCAAGCCTGTCTGTAGTCGGGCTCGGCAACCCTGTCCACCCAGGTCACCGCGGTGGCCTGTTTCTTCGGCAGCGCGGCTGGAAAGACTGCCCGCCACGTCGCCACGTGTCAACATGACGGACCACGGCCACGCCAGTGTAGCGGTAGGCGGTAGTGATGCGAGACGCGGGCCTCGGCCGGCACGACACTGCACGCGTTGCACCACCGGGGGGAATGCCACGAGGAATGTTCAATTACTGGCGCTGGCTAGGTGCGCGAGGCGGTGGCGGTGGCCATTGGCAGTGGCCCTGCAGTGGCCGAGTGGAGCGACGAGACCAGCCAGCAAGCCAGCGAGCCGTTGTCCCCGCCTCCCTCGAGGCCCAGCAGACTGATGCAGAGACCCCTTTTCGTCGCTCTGTCTCTCTCGCACTCATGGGGCGTCCCGTATGGGTGCGATAGAGGGTCCCTGCATCAGTCCGCAGCCAACGGCGCGATCGGCAAGCCCGGCTGCGACTTCCGCGCGTCCGTTCGACCTGTCAATCAAACTGTAATCTACTTGTCCGGCAGAGTGACACCATCAGCGCCATCAGCGCCTCCACGACGTTCTCGTCGCCGCAGCCACGCGCAGTGAATTTGACAGAAGACCGGTGAGGCGGCCAAAGACGCGTTTTGAGCAGTCGCAAAACAGGACTCGAACAGAACGTGTGACCCCACCAATGGATTGCTCTCCGAACGAGAAATCCATTGGTGGGGTCACACTTTCGGTTCGAGTCCCCTTTCGCGACTCTGGAGCTCAAAACGCGTCTTCTGGCCGCCTCACCGGTCTTTCGGCCTTCGGCCCACCAATGTGCCACGCCGCGTCAGGCGCAGTCTGGCTGGGCCGGACTGCATACTGACGTAGGGCTGACGCAGGGTAGCACCTCCCCGCCGGGCATGCTGCCCCGCCCCCGCCTCTCTCACCCTCAGCCGCTCTAGGCCCCCAAGACCTCCACGAGCCGAGTTCGCAGGAAACAAACCTGTGTTTTCGTTCGATAAGAGTCGGAAAGGTTCACGGAATTGAAATAAAAGCAAGCGGACTCGTAGTGTGGCGGCGGCATCATCGGCGCGGCGGCATAATGATGGCTTTGCAGTGTGGTGCGCCGCTAATTGCTAACGGCTCGTAATTGATTGCTGTCACCATCACGACTGTCGAGACTATCGAGCGGCCGCATCGGGAAAACAAAGACAATTTTTACTACTGGCTGTGGAATTTTTCGTGTCGGTTGGCGCAGTCGATTCAAGTCAATCCTTGTCCGCTTTGAACGTCCGCTTTGACGCATTGCGCAACCCGGCAGCCAAATTTTTGATGCGGTCAGGACGAACGTCAGTTTTTCGTTCAGAAAGACAGACCATTACACGCAGCCTTCCGCAACGTCTTTGGCCCAGGCTCGAAGTGCATGGTTAGCGTTCAGTGAACCCGTAACGCCGCACGACGCGGGCCGACACGGGCCGGCTCCGTCCATTGGCAGTCCGTCTTCGCAGAAGTGGTCGCGTTAAATCGAGCGTCTTTGCCAAGTGCAACGTGCGGCAACGCGCGGCAGTGCGCCCCGCGAAGACAATGTGACTGTTTACGCCGATCACGCTGGCGACGAGTGAAATAAATTCAATGTAACCGCCTTCCGAACGCAATTCGCTCCCCTAAGCTTTTGGTTACAAGCACTGTTGCGGATCTCCAAGGCCTCCAAAATTTTGTGAAGCAATGAAAAAGGCCGCACGTTTTGAATTTAGTTATTTACGCATGCGTGCCGGGTCGCAAACTCCGCCGAAGCGGAAATGGCAACAAACAGTGCGTCCTGCACGGTCAGGAGGCCTGAACTCTAGAGTCGCCGTATGGGACTCCAACAACAAAACGTGTGACCCCACCAATGGATTCTTCGTTCGAAGAGCAAGCCATCGGTGAGGTCACATGTTCGGTTCGAGTCCTGTTCAACGACTCTGGGGCTCAAAGCGCGTCTACAAGTTTTGCCGCCTCCACCGGTCTTCTGGCCCACTGTGCGTCCGTCCCGGTCCTGTTCTGGTCCTTTTCCGCAGCGTCCGCGCCGTCATGCCGGCTGCAGCCCTGGGCCCTGCAGCCTTATCGCCAGGCAGCCTGCAGGGCCGAAGGGCCGCCTCGCCTGCTTGTCTCGATGCATCGCTTAATCGGAGCTGGGCGAGACCGAGAACGGTCCAGAACAGGAAAAATAAAAACAGTAGCGCGTGTGGTTCCTCCGCCGATCCTCGCGCGGACCGACGCCGAGGTGCGGACGGACGGCGGCGACCGACGTGTCCCCGACGTGTCTCCCGACGTGTCTCCAGACGTGTCTCCCGACGTGTCTCCAGACGTTCGGGGGCCCTCCCTGCCAACTTCGAACCGGCATCGCACAAAGGTTCCGACGGGGAGGTTGGAAGTCGAAGAGTGGAGCTGCACTGTAGTGTGGCCCGCGCGACGCGGCGCGGGGTCGTACCTGAGTCCATGCAGGCGGCGTCCCGGAACACGTCCACGAGAGTGTCCAGCGTGGAGCCCGCTGCCCTCGGCGACGGTCCCTGGCTAGACGACGAGCAGGCCGGCGAGGAGAGGCCCGCGCCGAGAGGCCTTGGAGGCCCTGGAGGACGGGAGACCGCACCCTCAGCCCCCGCCACGAGGACGTCCCCGATGAACCGCACTTTTCACTAGCCCACTCGAGGGGCAGCCGTCAGGACTCGGCACAGTCCGTGGGCATGACACTCGCCTCCTGGCTCTGGCGCACTGTGGATTCGGCAGCAACAACACCAACACACACACTAGCACTCAGCACCAATCGGTCCGAAACGTCAAAAATTAGCTTTGTGTTCGTCACGATCGAGTAGCGGCGCGGCACTGGGGACACGCTCGGGCTGCTGGGGCTCCCCCGCCCCGGGCCCCGCCGCGCCGCCCCCCACCACGCCCCCGCGCTCCTCCCTCCACTCGGGCCTCTCGCTGGGCCTCTCGGGCCGCGGGGCGGTGGGCGGGGCCAGCGCCGGGCCGCCCCCAAGTCGAGCGTGCACAATGGTTCCGCCATGCTTATTGGCTGGGCCTGCTGCCTGCCTGCCTGCCTGCCCGCCGTCGTGATCGCGGTGCCGTTCGAGGCTGGCGTGGACGGCAGCAGACTGATTCCGACAGTCGTGTTCGTCGCTCTGCCTCTCTCGCACCTATACGGCACCCCCATGAGTGCGAGAGAGACAGAGCGAAAGGGACTGCGGGGGCGGCAGGCAGGCCCAGGGCGTGACGGCTGCCCATTGTTTTCCTGCATCGCATGCAGTGCACTCCACGTCAAGCAGACCAAGGAGAACGCCTCGCCGCCGAGGTTTACTGCGCGTGGAGACCGCGCCAAAATCGCTCCGCCCCGCTCGCGCGGCTGCAAGTCGTAACAAGGCGATAAGGCGGTACCAGAGCCGCACCGGAGCGCGCACTGGAAAAACAAAATATTTAGGGGAAATTCACTTGGATCACTCGTCTCGGATTGGGAGAATTGAATGTCCGTGCAAGAGTGGATTCATTCGGTCCGCAGGCCTCTAGGGCGCCGCCGGGCGCCGCCACATCCTCGCGGCCCAGCGGCAGCGGCCATTGCGCCACACGTGTCTCTGTCGTCTGTCTCTCTCGCACCACCACGGGGCGCCCCATGCGTGCGAGGGAGACAGACGAAAACGACTCTCAGTCTGCTGTCTCTATCTCGCTCCCGCTTTCCCAGGCAAGTCCTCAAAGTGCCGCCAGTGCCGACACCCGGCATGCGGTTGTTTTTCGAGGATCATTCCGCTTCGCCATGGCGGCAGGGAGGAAAAAGTGGTAAAGGCACCGCGATGGCATCCCTACACTCACTTCCGACGAGGAGGCTTCGCGCTTCCACTCCAAGACTCTGGTCGCCGCGCCTCGCTGCCCCCCTGGCCCCTTGCCTGGCCCGCCCCTCCCTCCACGGCCCCTTGGCCCCGTCGCGGCGTCGCGGCGTCGCGGCTCGCTGCTTGATTGGGTGCCGGCCCACCGCGGCCCCCACCAGGCGACCGGGCCTCTGGCTTGGCTGCCTCTGGCTGCCTGGCGCACCCCGGGCTGCGGGCCGCGCGGCGAGCCACTCCCACCCGCGGGCGAAGCACGCAGCGCGAAGACGCATCAAGTCTTGGGGAAAGTCGGTCTTCCGACACTTGACGCCATTCGTCGGCAATTCGTCGCCTGGAAAACTTCAATGTCACCAGCAGATAGAGTGCATGCCACGGTATGGCCTACCGAGCAACAGACACCGCCGACAGGTCTCCGGGCCGTGCCGCGCTTACAGTGCAGAGCCGGTTGCCGGTTCGCCAGCGCGTCCAGCGCGTCCAGTCCAGCGTGGAGCGCCCGGCAGGCAGGCAGTCCCGCACGCAGCCGTGTCGGCGGGCTGCCTACCCGGCGAGTGCACGGCGTCTGCGGGGCCGGGCTAGGCCGGGCCACCTCGCCGGCCACTAGCGGGGCTCCTGCACTCCTACACTGTCACTGTAAGGCGTGACGCGCGCCAAGGCCTAACGCTCCATAATGCCCGATAATGCCTGTAAATAGGTGGATAGGCGTGCTCCACATAGACTTGGAAAGGCCTAACGGAAGTACTTGTGCGGCGCTTCAGTTTTACCTGAGAGCTACGAATTTGATCTCGAAGCACTTCAAAAGACGACACTTCTGAGCGAAGAGTGCGCGTTTCCCAGCCTCCAGCCGGTGGGGCCTGGTGGGGCGCCGGCCGCGCGTGGGGCCGTGGGGCCATGGGGCCGTGGGGCCCGGAGAGCTTGGCCCGGGGCCCGGGGGGCGCCGCCTGCAACCCGAGACAGAGAGGCAGAGACAGCCCTCTCTAGTCCTCCGACACCGACACCACGCAATCATTGCCTCTCTCAGTGCCCCGCACGGTGCTACACTGCCGTCGCCCTGTCTCTCCCGCACCCCTACGGGGCGCCCCATGAGTGCGACAGAGACCGAGCCTAGCTGCCACGCGGCCCCGGCGGGGGAGCAGCACTCCGCGGCGTTAGGGGAGTGCAGTGCAGTGCCCTGGAATCCCTGTGTCGGCTGCCGTCAAAGAGGCGGCCCAGTCGGTCACCTAGCGCGCAGCGCGCCTAGCGCCGGGCCGACTAGGTCGACTGCGGGGACCGCGGCGCGCGGCGCGCGGCGTCTGCAAACTGGTTCCTCTTTCACCCCGTTTCCGCCCGGCGTCGTCGGCGGGCTCCTCGGCGTGCTCCGCGCCACGCCACTGCAAAGCCACTGCACCGCACCGGGAGCGCCTCCAGTTCCTTCAGTTCACGGACCGGGCCGCTGCACGTGCACTGCACACCCGGCATCGCGCGAGGCTCAAATTGACAGCATAAAAATCGACCATCCCATCCTCGCTACCGCAGCGAACCCGCGTGTAGAGTCTTGCCGGCGCTGAGGACGCGGCCGGGTAGCCCCCGCTTTTTGTAGGCGCCGGGCGCGCCGGGCGTCCTGGGCGCGCTGGGCGCGCTGGGCTCCCCCTGAGGGCCCCTTGTCGACCCGCTGCGGGACTCCATTTCCCACGTCCTGGGGACCCCGTTCCCCGTTTACCAGGACGGTTAGTTCCCATCGCGCTCTCAAACAATGAGAGTCGTACACAGGAAAGAAAGGAAATCGAAAAGCGAACTAGAAATGTGTGCCGGAGAAAGGCGCTTGCCGGGCCCCCCTTTCCCGTCGAGGCTCTCAAAGTGGAGGGTGCGGTGGTTCGTGGTTTGAGCAGCCGCCTGCCGCCTGCGCACCCTTCAGTGCCTGAGAGGTAGGCGCTTGCCGTCCCGCAACGCACCGGCCAGGAGACGGTGGCCTAACCTGCCCCTGAGAGGACGACAGGGGCTACCGTCTGCACACCGGTGTCTTGCCGGCCCCACCGGTCGATACAGCCTCAAAGCTGCGCGCTCTAGGAGAAGGAAGCAGCCAATCCCTCTCAGTGAAGCAGTGCTTGTGTGGCCGCAAAGATGTGGCGGCAGACCGGGACGGGGAAGGGCAGAGGCCGGAGTACATCGTTACGACCTCTTTTTGTCCGACCTGTCGAAATTCGTCCGACCTCCTTCCCACTGTTATATTTTTGTCCGACCTACCTCTTTTGCATCGTCATTTTTTCAGCAGCTACCCCTTCAACATTGCGGCACACTGCGTCGTCAACACGGGGAGACCGTGCATCACCCACGAACCTATATTGTGAATTCACTACAGTGTCTATTTTCAACGGGGTACAGTGCACCGAGCCCGCGGTAATATTAATTTTCGCGTCCGGCCTGAGTGCCGACGCGTTTTGCCACGCTACGCCACGCCCCGCCACGCCCCGCCGCGGAGCACGTGTTTGCGAAGGGGGCGCACGTCACGTCCCCGCACGCCGCAGCCGCCTCACCCCGCCCCGCCCCGCCCCGCCTCGCCCCGCCCCGCCTCGCCCCGCCCCGCCTCGCCCCGCCCCGCCCGGCTACGGCTCACTAGCCGCGCTCGTAAAGAGGTACCGCAAAAACGCTCCAGACTCTCTTTGAAGGGCCGAAGTAGCCCAAGTACAGTCCCGCCTCGAACAGCCGGCCGGGGCCCTCGCCTTGCATCCCGACGGAGGCGGACGGGGCGGACGGGGTGGACGGGGCCGAAGGGGCACGGCGACGACGTCCTCGAAGACGCGCACTTCGTGTCGTGCTGTACCGCGGCCCCACGGCACGCCGCCGCCCCCCGCCAGCTCGCCGTCGTGCTCAAAGAGTTGGAGACCGCAAGGCGCAAGGCGCTGGGTGCAGGGCGCAGGGCTGGCTGCAACGCCGGGGCGCGGCGGACGGCGAACACCCTCGCCGCCGCACCGCGCAGCGCAGCGCAAATACACTCGTCGGCGTGGGGCTCGCCGCTTGCCGCATGCCGGCGACGCTCGGAGACGTTTTTGCTGATGCTCAAATTTATTTGGCGAGTGGCTGGTGTGGCGGGGTGGCGCGGGGTGGCGCGGGGCGGCGCGGGGCGGCGTGCCCAGTTCATTGTGTCTCGGTTTTCATTTGCGGCGGCCCGTGCAGCGTCCCCGTCAACAGGCTAATCGAGCTATCGCACGTCGGGGCTGGTCGAGCCCTCCCTCACCTCCTCGTCGCGGTTCCGCCTATTACCGCTCACTGGCCTGAGGCCGCCCCTCCAACCACCGCCCCTCCGCCCCTCCGCCCCCGGCCTCTCGCGGGCCATGGACGCGGTGGGACGGATGCGGTGACTCTCCCCGATGACGACACGAACGACACGGTCGCGGCAGCGTCCTGGACCTCGTCCTGGATCCCGTCCTGAACAGACTGATCAGAGAGTCGTTTTCCTTTCTTTGTCTCTCTCACCCTCGTGCTCGTGTCACACCCTCGTGCTCCGTATAGATGCGAGAGAGACGTGGCGACGGAAACTACTCTCTGAATCAGCCTCCTGCGCCTGGACAAGTGGCATACCACGGACCCCCTGGTCGTGGCCGTGGTCGTGGTCGTCGGTCGTCGACACCGATAGCTCCGGCCCGGGCTAACCACGCTGGCGGGCTGGAGGGGGTTCGCGGGGTCCCGATTGTTCCGAGGTAGGATGCAGACATGCAGTCCTCGGGGCCTCAGCGGGCAGGGGCAGGATCCCGCGGGACCCTCTCGCCCTCTCGCGCCTCCGCTCTCAATCAAGTCATTTGTAACTCGTTATTTCTGTTGACGGCTTCGCTTCCCGCCCCATGAGCCGGCGGGGCGGGGCGGGGCGGGGCGGGCCGCGTCCTCTCTGGCTGCGTCCGGCCAGCGCCGCGCCGCGCGTCCATGGCGCGGGCCGACCGCGGGACCGCACCGCGAGACGACGTCGCCCCGCACGCGGCCGCCAGCCCGCCAGCCCGCCAGCCCGCCAGCCCGCCAGCCCGCCAGCCCGCCAGCCCGCTAGGCCTCCACTCTGGGGCCCGACGGCCCGACGGCCGGGACGGGGATTTATGGCGAGAATAAAAGTGTGCCAGTCGAGGCGGGAGTGGGGGAAGGGGGAGGGGGAGGGGGAGAAGGGCCCCGCGATGCTCGACTTGGCGGGAGTTTAGAACAAACTGCACATCGTCACGCAGAAAGCAGAGCGCGGTCCTCGTGTCGTCGGGTTTGATGGTTTGCGCACGCGGACCGGGCCGTGACGGCGGGGCACGGCGCGGGGCACGGCGCGGAGCACGGCGGCGACCTGAGAGCGATTCTGTACGTCACCGTCATCGCTCTGTCTCTCTCGCACCCGGGAGCGAGCGAGGCAGAATGACGAAATCATGCGAGAGGAATAAATATCGCGGGGAGTCATGGAAGTGTAGTGTGCGACTTGCCTTCCCAGTTCCATGAGGGCGCGGTCAGGGTCGTGGGGTGCGGTGCAAGGCGCACTCCTTGGGGTGGCCGCCCCGACGCCCCGCCCCCACGGTCCGCTTGTTTGCTTGCCGCGGCTTGCCGTGCCCGGTGTTGTCTCGATGTCACGGTGTTGTTCTGAGCAGTGGCTGCGCTAGGCCCCTCGGGGTGATGAATGCGCGGATGTGCCGAGGTCCTCCCCCTCCCCTTCAGGCGCACCAACCACCGCCACACCCACGCGATCCTCGCCGCGCCACGCCTCAGACGCCGATGGGGTGGGACGGAACCGAGGGGGCAACCACTCGAGAAATCCTGTGCCCCTTAGAGCGCTCAAAACGGCTCAAAATCTCTGGAGATCCAACATCTTCCCCCAAAAAGAAAAAAAAGCAGATTTTAGGCCTAAAATTGGACGAAATCTTGCGAAATCTGACGAAAATCTCTTCTTTTAAGAAATCTTGTGTCCCCAAACATCAAAAGTGGTTGCCCCCTCGGATGGAGCGGGACGGGTGTGGGGTAAAAAGAGGGATTTCTCATGCGGCCGAAGGGAGCCGAAGGCACTGACGATGAGTGAGATGGAGGCCATCAGCCTCCAGATTGTAACATTGTCGAGTCGAACACTTCTTTTACTTCTGCTATGCAGTTTGACTGGCACAGTCAACCATTTGGTTCTAGGACCGTACTTCAAAATGTGCTCCACAGCCAATTTACTGCAGGACCGTTGTTGTGCGTGTGTGTGTGTGTGTGTGTGAGCGAGTGTGTGAGCGTGATTTTTGCCTCCTTTTTTCAGGGGGTCGACACAGTGTACACGGTGCTGAAGAATTAAGAGGCCAGACGCGAAGGTTGGCTCCCATGGTACGCAGTACTTTCATCGCTAACGCCTTAATTGCCAGTTTAACAGCAAAGTAATTTATGCCGTGCCGCCGGGAATGTTTGCGTCCGTAATAGTGTGACCGCTCATCGCGTGTGGGCGGGGCGGAGCGGGGTGGGGCGGGGTGGGGGGGGGTGGGGCGGGGTGGGGCGGGCCGTGGCGCCATGGCTTCATTATGCACTTTGAAATGAGATGGCGGATCTCCAAGGCGCGATTTCGACTGAATTATGTCCCCGAAAGAGACTCGCACGCCGAGTCCACCGAATAGCGGGCACTGCAGCAACTGTCATTTTGTCACCACATTCACTAGGTTCACCAGGCTCACCAGGTTCACCCAGTTCACCACATTCACCTGGTTCACCCAGTTTCCCATATTCACCAGGTTCACCCACTTAGACTTCACCACATTCACCAGGTTCACCCACTTCACCACATGCACCAGGTTCACCACCTTCAGCATGTTCACCAGGTTCACTAGGTTCAGGCAAACGTTCCTGGCGCGGCGGGAGAGCAAATTCGCTGACCACGGCGGGGGATGGCTGAGCTTTGTTCTTTTATCTCGTAAGAGATTTTTTTTCGGTTGGAAGGTGAGACTGGCGTGACCCTTTCTCCCTCCCCCTTCGCTGAGCCACGACCGACTCATAGAGGTCTCATCGTCTTGTCTATCCTTGCCGCCACGCTCGACGCCCCGCGCCGCCCCGCGCCGCCCCGCGCCGTCTGGGAAGACGGGGAAGACAGGGAAGACAAGAGGGGGAGGCACGCCGAGCCACGCCGAGCCACGCCGAGCCACGCCGGCACGGAGGAGAGAAGGAATCACAGTTGAACGGCAGCCGACCTCCGCGGGGCGACAGGGCCGCGCCGGCCGTCTTTTTCCACTGCACCGCCACTTTCTTATTTGCCGCTAAAAATAAATTAAAAGAATCGGATTTGGAGGGTTTTGCTTTCCTCGGCTCTCTTCGGCGCGGAAGGGAAGGGGGTGGTGAACGGTGGGCGCCGTGCACGCCGTGCCGCGTCCTTGACTTGGCGGTGCCGGTTGGATGCGTGTGGGATGCGTGTTGGATGCGGGCCGGCGACGTCTGTCGTCGGTGGAAACTGGTTCTAGGGCTGCCGCTCCCAACAAAGGCGCCACGCAGCCCTCCAGCCCCGCTGGCCTCTTTGGCGACCCCGTCTCTGGTCGCCGTCTCTGGTCGCCACTCGCCCTCGCCTCGCGGCAATCGCGGCACTCGGCGCGCAGCCCGTCCCGGAAGCTTTCTGGGAAAGCCATTCATTTTTGTTGACACGGCCGTCAAGACAATACGGTTGGAAGCTGTTTTCAGCCCGGCCACACCTGTCGCCACATCCACGCAGCAAGTGGCTCGTATCGGCGGCCCCGCCCCGCCCCGCCCCACGACGGGCCACACTGCCGCGTGAATTATACTGGCAATGTTTTCCTTGGCGGTTTTCCACCATTCTCATTTTCTCATTTTCCCGCCTCATGACGCCAAAACGCCACAAAGCCACGGGACAAATTCAGGCAGGGAAATCTTTGAACCCGTTTGGAAGGTCTCAGGTACCTGTGACCTTTCAAAACACGTCTTTCCTGCTGAACAAAGCGGTTTGTTGTTTTAAAAAAGAAGAGGGAAAAGGCATTGGTTTTCACAACGGCACTACAGAAAGAGCGGAAATTTTAGTCGCGGACGTCGATGTTCGACACAAGCTTCCGACTGGACACTTTTATCAAGCTGATTGTTTGCCTTGGACCCAGCCCCATCGTCTTCGTCACTCGTTCCATGATCATCGAGGTAGGCAAAGAGGCAAAAGGTCCTGGGCCGCCTCCCCCAGCAAAGGGAGCGACTAGACGACTAGACCATTCGAGGACCTCCTCGCTTCCCGCCTTGTCGCCACTGCTTCACCAGCGGGCAACAAAATGCAGGGAACCTTATTTCGGTCCGGTGTGGAAAACTCCTGACCTAAAATAAGTCTGAGGTCCAGACGCTTGAAATTTGGAATTTCTACATTGTGTTAGGCTTCATTGAGATAGTTTTTATCCTGTTTTAGACGTCATTTTTCTTGTTAGCGGGTTGGCATTCCTGCGCCGATTTGGCGCCGATCCCCTCCCCTCCCCTCTCTTCCCCTCTCCTCCCCCACCCTTCGGCTGTACAGTCGGTAACGGACTTCTCTTGCCGGATTTGTTGATCTCCGCAGCCTCACCGTTCTAACTTGTTTCTGTTTAATTTCTGGTTTATCGATCTAAGGGGTGAGTGAAACTTTGCAGCACTTAAGCTCTCATCTCTTGCCGCATTCGGAGTACCATTTGTTGGCATGTTATGCTCAAAATGTTGTGATCTGAACTCTTGAGATGTGCCCATTCTTTCCTAGGCTGATGCCTCCCAATAGGTTATTGTAAAACAAACAGCATTAAACTATACATTTTCGTTCGTTAACTGTGAAGTGATGACTGTTGTCTGAAATCCGGCATTATTTTACTGTGTGACATGCTTTAGGCCTGTTGCTTGGGTCTGATTGGTGTCGCAGTCTCTTGTTTCCAGGTAAACATGCCACCCAAAAAGGGTAAACTTTATAAAATGCCAGCCCCAATTCCTAAAAACGAAGTTTTGACGGACACCTCGAAGCAAAAATGGACTTTAGGGCCTTCTATCGGAAAGGGAGGCTTTGGAGAAATCTATGCCGCTGCAGAAGGAGAAACAGCACCACGCAAGGAATCAGACTACCCTTATGTTGTCAAAATTGTACGTACTGTGATGGTTTCAATTATTCTCTGAGCATTTTCTGACAGGGGAAGGACGGTTGATATGTTCATTGGTTACTTCCAGGAGCCACATGAAAATGGACCACTATTTGTTGAAAAAACATTTTACTTGCGAGTGGCAAAGAAAGAAGATGGTAATTCTCTTCTTTTTGAATTATTAATATTTTCGTCTTAACTATTTATTTATTCTACTTCTACTTTGTTCAGTTTCATCATGGAAAGAGAAGAAGAAGTTGAAAGTCTTCGGAATGCCAGTGGCGTGTGGGGTTGGTTCTCACACTTGTGGTGACACAAAGTACAGGTTTCTGGTCATGGACAGATATGGTAAAGATCTGTGGTCACTGTTCCTGTCCTGCAACAAAATGTTCCCGATTTCAACAGTTTTACAGATTTCTATTCAAGTTGTAAGTTAGAATCTTGGTTTGTTTTCTTTTGATACCGTTTTTTACTGCATTTACAATTTATTGTTGAAATTTTTAGCTTGATGTCTTAGAATACATTCATAGCAATGGCTATGTACATGCTGACATAAAAGGTGCTAATCTTCTTTTGGGACTGAGGAAGGGAACTGAGAATCAAGTGTATGTAGTAGATTTTGGTTTGGCATCACGCTTCTCCAGCTCTAAGGATCCCAAGAAGGCACACAATGGCACTATAGAGTACACAAGTCGAGATGCCCATGTTGGAGGTAATTGTTTGAAGAATTTGTTTCATTAAATATGGATTTCACCTTAATTTTTCTTGATAGGTACATGCATTGAAATAATTCTAGGTACCACATGTAGAGGTGACATGGAAATTTTAGCATACAATGTTGTGCATTGGTTGTCTTCCAAACTTCCGTGGGAGGCTGTTCTTAAAGACCCCTCTGCAGTTCAGAAAGCCAAGGAAACTGCCATGCAAAATGTGCCTCAGTTTTTAAAGACTTGTTTTGGAAAGAAACCAGTTCCAGGTAAGTTTTATGAGTTTGTTCAGGGGTGGAGCACACAAAGGATGATATTATTGTGTTAATTTTTCTGTTCCAGATTTTGTTTCTAAATTTTTAAAATATGTGTCAGAAATGAAATATGAAGAATTGCCTGATTATACCAAAGTACGGAAAATATTTATGGATGGGTTGAAAAGTGAAGGAGTGAAGTTGGATTCTCCTCTCTCATTTACTAAGCCACTGGAACAGCAGAATGGGGAATCCAAGAAAAGTATGTGTCAACTGTCTATTTTTACTGAGCTTAATTATTTTATTATCAACATTGTACATTGTTTCACACAGTTCGAACATCTCCCCGCAAAACTGTCAAAAGAGGAAGTGAAAATGGATCATCATCTAGATCCAAGCCTGATTCTTCTGATAGGGAGATGGACACAAATTCTGAAGAAGAGGATGAGGAGGGGGAAAACAAAATGAAGAAACGAAAAGTTGCCTCAAAAGCAAAGCCAAAACCTACCCAAGAAAAAAAAGTGAGCTGGAGAGACTGCCCCACTGTTAAAGCCTCTAGAGTTGAGAGACCTGGTGAGTTTGTTCCTGCTAACCCAAAGCCGAAGAAGGCTAAATAATTCTGTCCTTTCTTTATACTATAACTATTTATTTAATGAGGTATTTCTGCAAGGCTGTTGATCTCAATGAGCATTTATTTGTTTTAACCTGATAAACCATCATTACTTTTTTAGTAAGTCTAATTTCTATTTATCTCAATCATTCCCCATTTTTAAAACAAGTGATGTATTATATTTGATAGCATATCTCAGAGTGAAATAAAATTTTTCTACATAACAATATGAATTTATAAACAAATTTATTTTGCCGTAATACTAAGAAGGTATTCAACATTGTCCAACAACAGAACTTAAAGAAAATCACAGTGGCCTCTTTCAAAAGCCAAATCACAATTAACACAAAATAAAATCTTTGCATAACAGTTATCCTTAACTAAGATTAAAGGACTAGTTTGAAAATGATCACTGCAAAGCATTATACACTGGGGTTGTTGTATCCTTCATGTGAAGATTCAATCCATCCAGAAAATCTGTTGCCTCATCTCTTAATGCCTCAGCCTTTTGTATTAATATCAGCTGAAAGAGCAATAAAAAGGAGACGATGTAACACAGCATTCCTGGTATGATAAACTTGCACAAAACTTCATTTAGTACCTTTGCTGCAGCAACAATTTGATAAGCAACTTTCCTTGGCATGTGGTCCACTTCTCTTATAAGACGAGTTGGTTCTGCAGCTGCAACATCCCGCACCGAACGATAGCCAGCATTGTAAAGTTGCCTGGCACGGCCCTGGTAGTGGAAGTAACACTTGTGAGCTATGACCATCAAATAACAAGAACAGAAATTGAGGAGTGACAATAAGTGAAAGAATTACAATTTTTACTGCAGGCAGCTCCATAAGGGGGATCAGCTCCACAGAGCAACAATGAGACAGTCTTTGAACCATTTCCTCCAAAAGAACTTTAAAGCACCAAAATTCTTTGAGCACCTGGATAAAGAGATAAAAACTCAAATCAAAATTTCTCCATCTAACATCAGATTTCATTCTTGGAAGAATAATCACCTCACAAAATCGCAGGACACAAGAAGCAAAACTAGAAGCAGCTTGAACTAGTGAAAATACTTGTCCTCGAGACACTTGAAATTTCTCTGACACATCCCAAATAGACTTTTGATGCCATAAATCATACAGCATCAGTGTCAAATAGAAACGATCAACAACTTCTTGGGGAACAGCCTGAAACAGGTTTAAGTCATTCAATATAATTAAAAACATTTCACGAATAAAATTCCTATTAACAGGACCACGTGACAGATGGGAAGTACGCCCGCGCCCGCACCATCTCCCTTAGGCTTAAGAGAAGCAGTGTCTTCAAGCTTGGCTGCATATACTTCCAATCTGTCATGACGTTTTAGGGCCACCGGACCAGATACCTTTAGGGTTTTTCTCCTCATCACCGTTACTGCAACAGCTTCTGTGATACCAATAGCACCAGCAACTTTCAGCTCATTAATGCCCATGTTCATGAACTGAAAAGTAAAATAATTTCATAATTTGTTCACCTGAGTGGTGGATCAACAAGAAGAAATGCACCTGAATTTATTGATCAGCAGAGGTAATGATTTACTTCTATCCCTAAACTTACTTGATTGAAAAAGACTTGGTAGTTTGGCTTGATTTGATCCATCATACTGTAAGGCGTGATACAGTACAAGAGATGGAAATGATTTACAAGCACAAGCTTTTCCTGCGCGAGGCACAGGTCATCATACAGACGATGGGCAATGACAATTGTCAGTGAACCTACAAGAATTCAGTAGTCGTGATTGCAAGATAATTATACCATCACATGTACATTCCAAATTTAACATCAAATTACCTTTAACAGCAGCTTCACCAATTTTGCTCAGGATTAAGGGAGTAGACAATCTTATGCATATTGAAATTTGAGAATCACTTGACTTATTGTTACTTGGAGGAAAGGCCACTATCACATTTTCATTATTTTCAGTGGAATCAGAAGATTTTACATCAACTATATTAAGTCCTCCTTCAGCCACTAGTGACTAAAAGTAATACAAAAAGAAAAAGAAAATTCAGAGGATTATTATAATATGTAAAATTTAAAAGCAGTAATGATAGAAATATACCTGAATACATCGGTCGGCGAGATTAAGAACATCGACACCCTTTCTTTCTGACTGAACCCATAACAAAGTGTGCTCCAAGAATTTATAAATACCTGACCGGCAAGAAGCTAGGCCCAAACTGACTGAATGCAAAATCAGTGCTTTCAAACCAGCCCCGTCATCTGCATCAAGATGGCTTATTGATTCAGTCATTCCAGATTTTAAAAGCTGCAACACCTTCAGCCATGCAACAAATATTATTAAATTATAATAAATTATTAATTTAAAGGAAAAAGCCCAGGCCAAAACTGACATTTAAGTAATGCCATGGAAATTACACCAATAAAAGCACAAAAAACTCACTTTTTCTGTATCTTTTAACTGACAAATTAAAATGCTCTCCCCTACACCACCAAAGCCAGCCCTGCCTGCTCTCCCAACCATTTGCTTGTAGCGGCTCATGTCCATAAAGTCTATCCCTATGTAGGGTGACCTCAAAATTACCTGCAGAAAAGTAACAGGCCAGGGATCAGTAAAAATTTGTTGTCAGCAAGGGAATATACTGTAACAACCACAACTTTTACTGTATGGTGGACAGACCCGTCTTGCTGGCAAATTCACTCCTGCTGCCAAAGTGGAAGTGCAGCAAATGACACACAGTGTCTGAGCAAGGAAAGCCTCTTCAAGCAGGCGGCGCTCTGCAGCAGTTAGCCCTATAAAGACAATAGGATACACCATTACAACCTTGAAACAATTTCTGTTTTTCCATTTTTCCACAAAAAAAAAAACACTGCACCTGAGTGGTGATAGGCAACTCCAAAAGGTAATGTTTGATAGAGTATGGGACAAACTTGCCCATTACCTTCGGCAATAAGAGCCTTGTAAAGGGCTTTCTTTGCCTCAACTCGAACAGTCTTCAGAGTCCTTGGCAAAATAACAAAATTACATAATATTATTATTTTCCTAATTTCATTACAACACTGGTGTATTAAGACTTACTTTGGCAGTGTTTGGCAAATCAGCAGTGCTACATTTTCACAGTTTTTCCGTGATGGACAGAATACTAAACACGACTCATCTGGAACAGTTTCAGCTACCAGTGCTCCAATTTGGTCTGGATCACTTTTGAGCTGCTCTTCAGTATACTGTAAAAATAAAAATTCAAAACAGTTGCTGGATTTTGTTTTTGCGTTAATAAAAACAGGAGAGTATTAGAGCGGAGATGGTTGAGTTGCTTACAGTGGACTCCAAAGTTCGATCAATAGAGAGAGGGGATTCTTCACTACCAATCATATTACGGTTAATACTATAAATTGTGTCACTACACTTGATATACTCTTTCAATTCTACAGGTCGAAAGTCTCCAGTGTAAGTTTTAGCATTGAGAAATGATGATATTTCTTGCAAGTTTCCGATAGTGGCACTCATGCCAACTATCTGAATACCCACTGGAACAAGGAACAAAAAAATTACCAATGCAAGTGATAAAATATGACAAAAATAAAATACAAGTAATGCATTGTACTAACATTTACAATAGTGCAAATTAGTGAGGACAGACTCAAGGGTTGCTCCTCTAGATCCCTCTCCAAGAAGATGTAATTCATCAACAACCACCAATCCTATCTCGTGTAAACGGTTGTCAATTATTAAGTGGTGTACTAAGCCAAGAGCCTTCTCAATTGTTGCAATGTAAACGCCATTCTTGCAACGGTGTTTTTTTGGTGGGTAGGATCCCTTCCCCCCAGCATACTCCTCAACAAAGAAATCAAGTTCAATAGCCAGCTGAGACAGGGCTCTGACCTGACAAAAGAAAACAAAACAGATAACTTTAACTATAAGTCACAAAAAAAAACAAAAAAAAAACACTGCTTTGAGAAACGGCTCACCTTTTCCTGCACAATTGCAACATAGGGAAGGATAAAAATTGTATTTTTCCTGTTAATCAAAATCTCTTTTAGCAACAAAATTTCAGCAACAAGTGTTTTGCCCCCACTTGTTGGAAGAGCATACACAAGATTTTGACGCTGTAGCACTTCAGGCATCGAAAGACACTCCTTTTGCCATGCTGAAAACACAAACAGTTTTTATTGAAAGAACAACTCATTCATTTCTTCAAAAAAGTACAACCACACATGAATCAATGTACCGTAAAGATCCTTGATTCCACGGAACCTTTCTATGAGACTTTGTACTTTTGAAGGAAGGCCAAAAAAACACTGATCCTCTGGTATGTTCTGACCATTTTTTCCTTGAAAGGTGGGTGTCATATTATTTCTATTATAATTGCTCATTAGCTGCTGGCGAAACTTTTGAGAGAATGATGAGCTATTGGCAGAATCTTCAACGGAGGGCGACTTTTCTGCAAGTCTAAGAGATTCATCCCAGTTTATATCAGTAAGTCCTGGTAAGGTCATTTCAAACTTTGTTTTATTCAGAGGCAGGGTGATGTGTGAGAGTTTCTGAATGCCAATCGAACGTGTGCCGTCAAGTGCTTTGGCAGAGGACAGATTCTTTGGGGTAATATTGTGGCAACTTTTAGGAGTTACAGGAACATAAACGCTATCTTCCCATGGCTTGTCCTCATCATCGTCAAGTGATGCTCCTTCACATCCACTATCAGATAAAGTTTTATCATTCTGTGGAGACTCTTCGAACAGATCTCTTTCTTCCCTGACTAGTTCCATGTCAATCAGAGGTTCAGGAATTGCAAGAAAGTCACTATCTTTCAGGCTGTCATTAAGTTGGTCTCCTTGGGGAATCAAGCACCTCTGAGTGCGTGACAAGGATTTGTTGACGATTGGGCTCGACGGACTGCCAATATTACTTGCAAAAGAAGGTAAGCTTGGGATAGGAGATAATCCACATGATTTTTCAACGATGGAAGTCTTCAATGCAGAGATCGTAACGGGTTCTTCTTCAAAGTCTTCTGCGACCAGATTAGAGAATAAGGTGTCATCAGCAGACAGGAGACGGGTCTTGTCCAGCAAAGCCGAGTCACAACTGGAAGAAGGGGGTGCACTCCCAGCGTCGTGTTTCCGCTTGAGGCTGAGTCGGGACTTGTTGGGCCTCATTTTGGAGCCTGCAAGAGATGGAAGCATTTAGGTAACATCGCACGACTTGGCAAAAGCAGCGCCTGAGTATAGTTGTTTACATAACCGCCACAGGCATGCTCAAAACGACATGAAATACATTTTACATCTCTTACTCTCCGCCATGGTGAAGATAGAGTGATGAGACAAAAACAAACGTCCATCCGCAGAAGTCTCTAATCCGCACAGTATCAGGATTGTTCTTGCCTTACCGGCTTTGGCATTGTCGAAGAACTTTCTTGTGATTGCGCCACGCCTGTTTGAAATTTGTGGGGATACAGCGTAAGTAACGTACACATGTGAAAAATATATTACGAGCATTGAAATTTTCATATACACAAGTCAAATCATAGAAATTTTAGAAGGAAATTCAATCATGCCCGATTCTTTGGTTTAAATTAAATTCCTTTTATGTCGTGGTCTCTCGGAGTTCTAGTCAAATCGTGGCAATGTTGGTACGAGCACTGTTCAGCTGACAGGTGGTAAACAAAGCAGAAGCAGAAGCAGAAGCAAACGGATGACTGGGATTGTTACGGGGAGTCTGTTCGGCAGTTCTTTTTCGCTTTGTCCGTTTCGCCGCCACTGTCACAAATGTCTTTAGCCGTGGGCTGGTTATTTGAAGTCGTTGTACTTCGCGCATACAGTGCCGTGCGCAGTGTGTTGTTTGTGGAAAGGTAAGAGTCCTGCGACTAATCGGTCATCCTTCGCGCAATGTGAGCCCGAGTGTGCTTCCCGTGGCCTTCTTCCTGCTCTAGACTCTGAGACTTTGTACTTAACACCCTGTTTCATGTGAGTTGCTGTTGTTTTTCAGTGCCATGTAAATACTGAGTCATAACCCTTCGTGTTTTCAAAGAGTCAATGTGTTGTGAGAGAAGCAGAGGTTAGGTTGAGCTATCTCACAGAGATCTCTCTTAGGAACTGCCTCATATTTTGTACATTTGAGGGTGAGTTTATAAAATTTCTGTTGTAGTTAGCTGGGTTTCCTCACCTTAGCCTGTTGCTGAACTTTTTGACTCATTTCTACTTCTTCTGTAACTATTTTTTTACTGCTTGGTTGCACAATATCTTAATGTTGCCGTTTTTTTCCTCCCCTGCTGTAGCGAATGTTTCTTGACACCATCAGTTCTCCTCTCTATGCACTCATCATTCTCAATCAATAAACTGTTCTAACAAGCACTGGTCTTCATAGGAACATGGATGATCTTGCCAATGACGGGCCTGGAACTTCTTCTGGCTGGCAGCGCACCTTTGAAGCTTTGACCAACTACCACAATGAAGCTTTCCAACTGCTGGATGAGGCAGAGGCTCTGGATAGAAGAAATGAGTCTGCAGCTGTAAGTGGACCCATTTTGATGTTGCTCCCTAGCATTTTCTTCGAAGTCTTCCCAATAATTGAACGTGCAGTCATAGTTGCTCTAAATTCAACATTTTACTGTATTCAGTCCATATTTTCTTGGTGATGCCTCAGGCCCAGGCTAAGTACTCGGAATGTTTGACTGTGATGGACCGTGCCCTTTCTCTTCCCATTATCCGCCCACCCAATCCAAACCTGTCTTGGGAACGAGCGGGAATCATGATTCAAAAGCTACAAAAGAGCAAGTGGGTGCAGATTCTGTGCATTGTTCTGACGCGTATGGCCTAAGGCCATGTTTTGTTTCCTAACTAAAGCATGATGGCTATTTTGCCAGGGAAGAGATCAAGACCAAAGCAGAAGCACTGCAGGGCAAGGCGGCCTCTTTGCCTTCCCCATCCCAGCCCCCAAGCTACGAGGAGGTCATGGCCTTGGACACCTCTAAATCCAATGACAAGGAGGCAGCTGGCATGAGCTCTGGTGCTGAGGCTGGCCTGGAGGTGGCAGGCGCCGCACCGGCCCTACTCACCTACAAACAGCTTGGTGAAGCGCTACACACACTCAAGGTGAGAATTGCTTTCCACCATGCTCCATCTTTCTGTGGTTCTTGCTCTCAATCACAGCCTGCCATGTCTAGTTCTCAGAACTAGATCAATTACTACTCAGGTTGGAGATCAACTGCATGGTTGAAAAATGTCTATGAAGATTTTTTTTTTGGTCTCACATGTTTATTTTTATTTTGCATCTGTATCTTTCATTATTTCGTTTTAGAATCATCCTGTTTATGCTGCAGTGATTTCTACTTTTTTATTTCTGCGAGTGAGCTTAGGTTTTTAGTTAAATTTTGTTTTGTTAAATTTTTGTTTTTCTTTCCAGTGTGCATTCAAAGCCATTGTAGGAAATGCCTCCAGAAGTAAAGGCAGTAATAATATTCAGGTAGTTTGTATCTTGAATTCAAGTCCACATATGTTTTAAGGCAGTTTTAAAAAGGTGGACTTGGAGCTTGTTGCTTCAGTAGGGTTGTTGTCCTCTTTTTATAGCCAACCTTAATTTTTATTATTAGTTCAGTTTCTTCAATATTTATTTTATCATGGTGGTGGCTATTGGTGCTGTAGACCTGAAGTTTCTTAGTGATTCGTGTATCCACTTATATGTATATGCACAATTGTCATTCCAAAATCATTGTAGCAGCAACTGCATTGCATGGCATGTCTTCACATCCTATTACTGTATTTAAATTTGACAGTTTCCCTTCCCTTCACCAACTGAAAAAGAAAGAAATTTTAACACCATCACATTCTTTTTATATGTTTTTGTGTATTTTGTCTCAGGTGAATGAGGCAGCTGGAGATGCAGAAGTCATCTTTGCATACGATAATGTTCGCCTTTACTTCATTTCACCTGATGGCTCCGTCAGTTCTTCTTCAGAACCAGAGAGAATGATAATTGTACATTTTTCGGGTAAGCTACATTATTAGTAGCTCTTCTAATTTTTTTTTTTACTTTCCTGTTTAAAATAACAAAAATGATATTGTTGGATTTCTTTCACAGAGGAGATTCCTGATCGTCCCCCAGCTTACCTTCAAGTAGGCAGCTGGATCTATCCATTGGTACCAGGTGTATCTCCTTGTTTCCGCACAAGCTTTAGGGCTTTCATTCTTCCTGATATTCACTCTGATGTTGAAGGTGGGTTTTGTACATAACTGCTGCTGTCATGTCATGTCTCTGGGCTACATTACTATTAGGATTTCCTGTTTTGCAGGGTCTGCCGTTGGTTTGATGCTTCCTGAGGATGCTGATGAATCTGTCTTTGAGCTTCTGGAAATTATTTTGGATGGCATCACCCTCCAACTTGAACCAGAAGAAAGAAGTGCCGGTCGTTTACGTCGGGAAGTGGGCCTTGCTCATTCTGTTGTAAGAGGAAAGTATAAAAAATGTTGTCATGAAAAAACAGGAAGGAGTTGAATGAAAATGTTCCTTTTTTTTTCTTGTATAGGTGCTAGATGGGTGAGCAGCAGGCTCGTCAGTGGAGCAGAGCGGGCCGGTGATCTTATGAATAGAGGCACTCCAAAACTCCTGCAACATATTGAGCAAGAACAGCCAAAGGAATTCAGTCCCAATGTTACTAAGGGATTTGAAGTCGCAAAGAACGTATCTGGAAAAGCTGTGCAAGTAACAGGTTTCATAGGTAATGTGAATCTAGAAACATGAAATCTTTCTAGAGTTGGCCAGCAATAATGGTTCAAGCTTCCTAATCCTCTTTTAATTTCTGTTTTTCAAGCTGGTAAAGTAGGTTTAGCAACAACAGCTCTGGGCAGATTTTTAGCCCCACACATTCAACAACAGGGTACCCGCTTACTCACCAATACCTTTAAAATGGATGAAACAGCAGCCAAGGACAAGATGGATAACATTTTAGAGGCCACTGCTGGAGCTGTGGAAGCATTTGGCACAGTGTATGGGGCACTGGACCAGTCTGCTCATATTCTTGCAGGAAGTCTAGCTACTAACACTGTCTCCTTGGTTAAACACAAGTAGGTTGAGATTAATCTGGATGTTAATTACCTAGTTCTAGGGAGATGGTTAATATTTCTTTTTTACATCAAAATAAATTCTTTTGTCATAATTATTGTTACAGATATGGAGCTCAAGCTGGTCAAGTTGCTGGAAACACCTTTGACACTGTGGGAAATGTATTTGTAGCAGGTCATGCTATGAAAAGATTGAATCCAAAGTATTTTGCAAAATCAGCTGTAAAGGCAGCAGGCAAAGCTGTCATAGAGGATCAGCGTAAACATTTGCTAGAAGATTCCAATACAAGTAGCTTTGCAAAACCAGGGCCCAACTTGGAAAAGTCAGATTAAAATTTTGATGTACTAAAGTTTTTAGAGCAGAACTTTTTTAAAAACATAATTTTCATAACAGTTTTATAAATTGACTGAATAGTCTTGCATCTTTGCAACTTGCATCCAGTTCAAAGGAACCATTATTTTACCATTTATTCTCTAAAGAAAATTACATTTTGAAAGTTTTTTGTGTTCGTATAACATATGAGTATTGTGTTTATTTGCCATTGTTTTAATATCAAATTAGGAGGTTGTGCAGGATGTCAGCAAATTATTTAGAGGGAATGGGAATCAATGAGTCATAGTAGCATTGAGTCAGTAGCTTTTCACATTGTGTAAATTCTCTTGTCCTTAGTGAGTTTCTAGTCTAGTCTTCAGTTCCCACTAAGGCCTAAGGGAAGTTTTGCATCATGTCTTTAAAAAGCAAGATAAGATGAAAAATTTAAACTCTAAATTGTATTTTTTTCTAGGCTGTGTAACTTGTACTTGAGATAATTATGAGAGTAACAAGTCTGATTAAGTTAAAAGTTTCACTCACAGAATGTTGATTTTTGTCATAATTTTGTTAGCTCAATTTATTTAGTGGTTTGTACTTCCCTGCTTGTGTTCATCCCTCCTTTTTGTTTCTTTTACTGTAATTTATTTTCAAGGTGTTTGGTGAGAGAACTTCGCTGTCAGCAATCTCTTCCACAGCTAGTTTTCATGTTCTGTTTTGATCCTTTGAATGTTTCTGTGTTGTTAATAAATGTTATCATACATGTTATCATTTTTGTTCTTTCTTAAGAAAATTCTTTTATAGATACAGACTTTTTTTAAGTTCCATGTAGGCAGCGGTGATGTCGAGCCAGCGGCATTCCCTGCGAGTCCCTGACCCGCACTGCGGACCGCAATAATCCCCCTCAAGGAACTTTCGCGAGTAGGTTTTGAGTGGCTCTTGCGTCACCAAGTTTTCCACCTGAATACCGTAGCCTACGTCTTTGCGCTCGCGAAGCATTCGTCATTCATGATACAGCTCGACAATAGAGTCCTATACCTCTCCTATACATTCAACAAAAATGTTAGCTATAATTTGTCATACTTTTCCGAAAACAGCCACACGAATTTCTCTTATTCTTTTGTTTATAATGCCAACTTAAGTGCGTTCACACATGTCGAAGTCAGCTATTCATGAGATCAAAGCATTTTCGGTCTCTTTGGCACTCTTCTCTTTTCCTACATTTCTTAATTTCTCTTCTTTGTTGATCCCTAATTCAATTTTTCTATCTCTCTCAAGAAGCGTGTGTGTGTTCGTGTGGTTGGGAGTGCCGAGTAGGCGTCCACCATCTTGGAATCCGTTACAAAACAAAGCGAGACACCGGCCTTTTTTAAAGTAGTTAAAGTACGCTGAATTCGATTGTAACGTGAACCCTTGGCGAGTTTTCCTCATTTCAGTGAGTTGATTCGAACTGCTTGACTTCATTTTTTCGCACCTTGGTTTTCACATATGTTTTAGCCGGCGGATGATTATTCATTTGTCGTGATATGCTATTTAAATGTTTTGCCTGGTAGCCTCTCATGGTGCCTGTGTGCTTTTCGTCCGCTTATCTAGTTCATCGTGTCGGTACTTCATCCTATCGTTTATTTAACAGACATGGGCTCCTCCATCAGCCGTCACCTGCGAGACCTGGGCGACGTTGGTGGTTTCGAGAACATGATCGGGCTCGGCTCCGAGCCTAACCCTGCTGCTGGTGCTGGTGCCGTGACTGCCAAAGGCGAAGGCGACGTATCTCTTCCGTCGTGCCCCTCCACCCCCAGCACGCCCACTCCTTACCAGCCCGTTCGCGTCCTGGATTTGGACCCGCGGTCCCCCACTGCTGAAATCGTCCGGACACCCATCGAGGTTCATAGTTGTCATTCTTTATGCCACCGTATTTTTCCTCTGCGTGTACCCTCTTATTGTCGATGGTCTTTGTTTGGCTTTGCAGGTGGCTCCTAAATTTGCCTTCAGGGGATCGCAGGACTCTCCCATGACTCGAGTTTTGCAGACACGTCGAAGTTATTTGGAAACAGATTTAGACACTTTGTCCACTAGCGAGTTCACATCCAAACCAGAGATTGGGACTGAGGATCAAGGAGCATCCTTGCCTCCTGGACTGACATGTGCGCACCTTCTCAAACTTAAATTCATGGGTGTTGATCCTCGCTCTCCTTCGACTGAGATAGTACGGACTCCAATTCAGGTAATGTACTTTACTAGCTTGAAATTCAAGTCTTCATTCCATATATAACTGGCTAATTTTGATCCATCATGGCCCTATTGCAGCTTGGCAAGGTGCAGCAAAGGGGTGTCTCTCCACTTCACTTTGATGACACCTTGAGTATTGGATCAGTTTCCAGTCAAGACATCTTCAACAACTCTATGTGCTCTTCTGAATTCACTCGAGATTGCAGTGATCCGTCTGCCCTTATCAGTGAATGTGACTTGAGTGACAAGGAAGATGAAGAAGTTGTTGCTGAGCCTTTGCAGGTTTGTGACACTTTACTCTTTTAGTGTGAAATAATGAGTTGGGTTTTGCAGAAGTGACTGATGTGTTTTATTTACTTTTATTAGGAATCAATCTTGAAGACTGCTGGTGAAGACATTGTGAATGATGACCTATCCCCTGAAAGTTTGACCAAGTGCTTAAACAAGTTAATGGTGTTTAGAGAAGATGAAGTCAAAGCTAGTGAATCTGACAGAGCAGCTCCTGTCACCCCTGAAAGCACCAAGAAAGTAAGTATTCGCTGTAGAGCTGTGGGATTTTTAAAAACCATTTGTATTTGTACAATGTTGTACTTTCCTTTACAGCCCTCTGGAAATCGCTCGCGGACCCCACTTACTCCAATCTGTAACCAAAGTAGAACTCCCAACAGCATTTTAAGGGCCAAACAATCTCAAAGTGTACAGAAAGAAATTTTGACCAAAGCAAAAATTTATTCTACTGATGAGAACATTCTGACTCCATCCAAAATACGCTCTGTTGGTGGGGCTTTGAAAGAAAATAGCAATTCACATGGGCGAGGAGTCCGTAAAGGACTTACACCTCTCTCAAACAATAAGAAACAAATCAGTGCCCAGTGGGATCAGGACTCCTCTGTTGTCATTTAGAATAAGAATGCTTATAATTTTTAGCTGCTAGATATCGTTTTGTGTTCCAAGTATTTATTACTTTAAGGTTTATTTGACTATTTTAATTTTAATACTAATTTCTTTAATGAGAAATGGATTTTTATCCTCTATGAGCCAATGTGATTTTTGTAATGTGCACCTATAAATAAAGTGATTTTAAAAATAAGATTTACTTGCTGGACGTTTTTGAAATTTCATACCCAATCAATAGGACAGTGGTTCTCAACCTTAGGGTCGCGACGCGAGTATTCATCTTGGAGAGCACTTGTGTGAAAGGTGCCCTGCGAGAGGCTAGGAGGTGCCGAACCGAACGGAGACCCGAAGCCGAAGGCAAGCCGAAGGCCCCGACTCGGCCCGAAGCCAAAGCCGAAGGTGCCATATGAATTTCAATTATTCTGATCATGCAACTAAAGTCACTAAGTCACTCATATTGCTTGGGGAAAAGAAGAAAGGATGGCCACAAACTCAAAACTAATTTTGGAAAAATATTTTAAAAATATACGATGGGGAAAAATTGCCATAAGTCAACAAAAATGGTGACATTTACTGGCCTAATATTTCTTTTTTTGTTCCAAAATGTGAACAAGTGCATCATTTTCGCTTCTCAATTCTGTTGACAACTATCTAAGAAACTTCGGAAGAAAAAGAGAGATAAATTATCAGGCCGAAGACTAGACCTGACCATAACTGTTGCGCGGAATCTCTTAAACTAATCGATGAGAGATTACGACAACTGGAAGCTTACAACTTTCTTTAAATTTTGTTTGTGCATGTTAGATGTTCTACAATACATTAGTCATATTCGCAACTTCTTTAGTACAGGATTCAATGGACAACTAATACGAATTGTTTTTATTTTGTGTTAATAGCTGTTTTTCTATCACACCTCACCTTGAGCTATCATTCCATTTTAGCGTTAAGCTAAAATGTCTCTTGTGACTGACTTTTTGACCTCAAGGTCTGGTCCGAAGAATTTTAAGTCTCTGCGTCTCTGCAAACTTTCGGCACTTGCATTGACGGAGTCTTGTTTTAGCAAGTTTGAGAAAAAAATTGGTTCGACTAATTTAAAAAAGCTAAACAAAAATATTCTGTTCTATCTTTTAATTTTTATCCAAATATTTAAAAAGGTTTGGAAAATAAGTTGAGTAATACAGTTCACATAATTCACTTGATGCAAGAGTTGTTTGTTGTTTTCTTTTTCCAACATATTGTCAAATTGTTAAAAAAACACTTATGCGGCCCCATTTTATAAAATGCCCATGGTAACATTGTTTTTACCTCTAGAGTTAAAGAAATACATAAAATGAGCAAACACCACGACTTCGGGTTCGGTCAGTCGTTTCGGCCAGTTCGGGTCCTCCCGCGCTCGCTCGGGTTACGCTCGGGTCCCGAACCATCTAGCCTCGCGCAGTGCCTTTCACACAAGTGCTCTCCAAGATAAATACTCGCGGTCGCGACCCCAAGCGGGGTCGCGAAATTTTTTTAAGGGGTCGCGGCGATGCTGGGGTCGTGTTTTAAGCCGATTTTAAGCAGCCACTGCGTCTGATCCGAGGCGGGCATTTTGCTCCCTCAACGGGCAATCGGTCTTTGGACCTTCCTTTAGCATGCCTTTGTTACGGAGTGCAATTATCAGTCTTAGTTTGGGAGCAGTATTGTCTCAAAGTTGGCCGAAACGCTCAGAAATGTCTATGAAAAATCGTGTTTTGGGCCGATTTTAAGCAGCCACTGCGTATGATCCGAGGCGGGCATTTTGCTCCCTCAACGGGCAATTGGTCTTTGGACCTTCCTTTAGCATGCCTTTGTTACGGAGTGCGATTGTCAGTCTTAGTTTGGGAGCAGTATTGTCTCAAAGTCGATCAAAACGGTCGCAAGTGTCTTTGAAAAACCGTTGTGACTATTTTGGTCAACTTTGAGACAATACTGCTCCCAAACTAAGACTGATGATCGCACTCCGTAACAAAGGCATGCTAAAGGAAGGTCCAAAGACCAATTGCCCGTTGAGGGAGCAAAATGCCCGTCTCGGATCAGACGCTGTGGCTGCTTAAAATCGGCCCAAAACACGATTTTTCATAGACATTTCTGAGCGTTTCGGCCAACTTTGAGACAATACTGCTCCCAAACTAAGACTGATAATTGCACTCCGTAACAAAGGCATGCTAAAGGAAGGCCCAAAGACCAACTGCCCGTTGAGGGAGCAAAATGCCCGCCTCGGATCAGACGCAGTGGCTGCTTAAAATCGGCCCAAAACACGATTTTTCAAAGACACTGCTGACCGTTTCGGCCAACTTTGGGACAATACTGCTCCCAAACTAAGACTGATAATCGCACTCCGTAACAGAGGCATGCTAAAGGAAGGTCCAAAGACCAACTGCCCGTTGAGGGAGCAAAATGCCCGCCTCGGATCAGACGCTGTGGCTGCTTAAAATCAGCCCAAAACACGATTTTTCGTAGACATTTCTGAGCGTTTTGGCCAACTTTGAGACAATACTGTTCCCAAACTAAGACTGATAATTGCACTCCGTAACAAAGGCATGCTAAAGGAAGGTCCAAAGACCAGTTGCCCGTTGAGGGAGCAAAATGCCCGCCTCGGATGAGACGCCGTGGCATGTTAAAGGAGGGGTCCCGTGGGGTCGCGAAATTTTTCCTGGGGGTCGCGGAAATTTTTGGCTTCAAATTTGGGGTCGCGAGCCGAGAAAGGTTGAGAACCGCTGCAATAGGACATTCGGGACATTGCATTTTGTGGGTAATTAATCATTGTGTTCCTAACCCAAGTTTGTTAGATTTTAGCATACATTCAACTTGGTAGGACCAATTTTTTTCACTTTTCAGACAATGACTGTAGATGATGCCTGCCTACTCAAAATCGAAACGGGTCAAGAGACTCGGCACAATACCCCACTATGACTGCAAGTTGCTTTGCGGCGGGGTCCCTGTCGTGCTGGCCGCACTGCTGCATGCTGCACGTGTTGCATGCCGTCGTCGGGGTGGTGAGGGAGGGTCTTGGGGCCGCCGCCTCGCCGTCTGGTCCCGCGCGACGGCACTGTTAAATCAATACCCGGCGTCGCTGGCGTCGCTGGCGTGGCGGTCCGTCAAGGTCCGTGGGGCCGCGTCAGTCTCGTCCGACATGTCCCACGCGACGTACGACAGGCTGTGGGCGGACGCGCAGCGCACGCTGGACGAGGCCACGGCCATCGACAGCGACCTGCACGCCGCCAAGCCGCAGAAGGACAAGCGCAAGGCGTCGGCGGTGGTGTGCGACCTGTACGTGCGATACGTGACGGCGCTGGCCAGCCTGGACCAGTGCTACGACCAGATAGTGCAGCCGCAGAAGCGCCTGCTCGTCCGCAAGCTGCTCGACGCCAGCCTGGGCCGCATGCTGGAACTCAAGCACGAGCTCGTCAACCTGGACCTGTCCGAGTTCAGCTACTACGACGACGTGCTCATCAGCATGAACATCCTGCCGCAGGAGGCCGAAATCACCATCCCGCAGTACTACAGGCGCGAGCGCGAACAGGAGATCCGGCAGCGGAGGAAGACCATCGACGACGTCCTCAAACGACTGGGCTTCTACGAGGACGAGGTGGGTAGCTGGCTGTGGCGGCCCTCCGCGTGGTGCACTGTGCACTGCTTTTGTTTGCTTGGCCTGGCCAGGGCGCCGAGCCGGAGATGACGGAGGACGAGGCGACCCGCCTCATCCAGGTGCACGAGCGCGCGCGCCAGGGCCGCCTGCGGGCGCAGTTCATGCGCGAGATCCGGCACATGAAGGACAAGGCCAAGCCCGACCCGCTGGCCGACGACAAGGCGGGGTCGCGCGCCGCCGCGCTGCGCATCCAGAAGATCTGGCGGGGCTTCATCACGCGGAGAAAGATCCGGAGGAGGGTCATCGAGGAGATGCTTCTCATTGGTATGGCCGCGGCGAGGGTGTTGTCTCGTCGCTCTGTCTCTGCCGCATTCCTCGAGTGCGACAGAGACAGAGCGACAAATGGCTCGCAGGCATGCTGCCCCCCGTGGCCGTGGAGTCGGAGGCGCGGCGCCGCAGCGAGGAGGTGCGCGAGGCGCGGCGCGCGGTGCAGGCCGAGCACCAGCGGCAGTACGAGCAGGCCCTGGTGCGCGAGAAGGAACACGTGCGGCGCACGCGCGGCGAGATCATCAAGGAGGAGATCGCGGACGCGGCGCGCTGCTGGTACATGGACTACAAGGCCAACACCGGCAAGTTCCCCGACTTCCCCTCTGAGGAGTCCGGCGGCTCGGCGGTGCTCTTCAGCCGCCAGGGCGCCGAGTCCGAGATGAGCAAGTCCACGGCGCCGTCCTCCAAGGACAGCAAAGGTATTGTCTCTTTCGCTCGCATGGCGTGTCCCATGGGAGGGTCGTCGCTCCGTCTCTCTCGCTCTCATGGGAGGGGTTGTGAGAGTGACAGTGACAGAGCGACGAGGTGTTGTCGAAGGGATGAGGGGGCAGGACGTGGTTCAGCGACTTTGTACCGAAGCTCGCCATGCAAGCTGCCTCCCCACGCTGCATGGGGCCTGTGCCCGCGGGGGGAGGGCAGGGGGTTCGGCTGTCCGGAAGTCTGGATAGGCCAGGCTCGGCCAGGCCGACGGTGCAACCAGTGCAGCCGCACAAGCGCACCACTCAGCGGTCTCTGTTCCACACCCACAGGCAAGAAGGACAAGGCGAAGAAGGCGCAGAAGGAGAAGGACCCCGCCAAGAAGAGGCCGGAGGACGAGGAGGACCCGGGCTTCAAGATGCTGCCGTCCAGCTTCCTGGGCGAGCTGGTGGCGTCCTGCGGCACGTACCAGGACGTGTGGTGCGAGAAGGACGAGCGCGGCAACCCCAGCCAGACCTTCTACCGCGACATGATCCTGCAGGACAAGGAGCGCGAGGCGAGTAGCGCGTAGTCAACGGAGTCCGCCTGCCGCCTGCAGAGCGAGGCTGGGCCAGCCCGCCAGACACCCGTGCAGCGGGGCGGCCTACCCTCGACTTGACAGGCGCTTGGCTTGGCTTGCCGTTCGCAGGTGGAGGCCGAGCTGCGCAAGACGGTGGACCACATGCTGCGCCAGGAGCTGGAGCGGCTGCAGGCCGCGCTGGACCGCGACCGCGCGCGCAAGGGCAAGAGGGGCAAGAAGGCGAGCAAGAAGAAGGGCCGGCGCGGCGGCAAGAAGGGCAAGAAGAAGAAGGAGCGGGACCTGACGCCCGACCGCACGCTCGAGTCGCTGTTCGAGGAGCTGGTGGCCAACGGCATCATCCGCAAGTACCCGGAGGTGCCGCTGGCCGCCTTCAAGGGCGAGCGCTCCTTCGGCAACCTGGCGCTGCGGCAGCAGGGCAAGGACCCCCTGCCGTCCCTGGGCGACGTGCGCCAGGCCGTGCTGGAGTACTGCGTGCTGCCGCTGGGCTCCCCCGCCATCCACGCCATGTCCCCTCTGGTGCGCTCCGTGCTGCTGGCGGGGCCGGCGGGCTCGGGCAAGCGCACGCTTGTCCACGCCGTCTGCACCGAGACGGGCTCCGTACTCTTCGACCTGAGCGCCGCCAACATCGTCGGCAAGTACCCCGGCAAGGCGGGCCTCGTCATGCTCGTCCACCTCGTCAGCAAGGTGTCCAGGTCGGTTGCTGCAGCTTGCTGCACTTTACTGCTCGCCTTCCGCCCCCACCGCCTTCAACGTCCCCCTTCTGCAGGCTGCTGCAGCCGTCCGTCATCTTCATGGACTGCGCGGAGAAGCCCTTCCTGAAGAAGGTGCCGAAGACCGACAAGACCGACCCCAAGCGCCTCAAGAAGGACCTCCCGAAGCTGGTCAAGAGCATCGGGCCCGAGGACCAGGTAGGCCAGCGTAAATCAAGTTAAAACACAAGCCGTGGGTCTGATTCTGAGCGGGCGGCACCATGCCACCGCGGCGGGAGAGGCTCCGGCACCGCTTTGCAGCAGTCCTGTGCAGCCTCATGGCAGCGTGCTCCGCCATGCTGCGCTCGACACTTCGACATTCGACAGGTGCTGCTCATGGGCATCTCCCGCTGCCCGTGGGAGTGCGACCAGAAGGCGCTGGCGCAGGTGTACACCAAGATGATCCTGATTCCGCGGCCCGACTACGCCAGCCGCAGCTACATCTGGAGCGAGCTGCTCTTCTCGTACAGCGGCGTCAACCGCCAGTTCGACACGGCCGCCATCGCCCAGATCTCGGACGGCTACACGGTGAGGGCCAGTCTCGCTGTCTCTCTCGCACCCGTGGGGCGTGCCCTGGGTGTGTGAGAGAGACAGAGCGACGAAAGCGGGCGCAAAGATCCTTCGGAATAATTAGGTGGCGGCCGGGCCTAGGCCAAGACCAGCCAAGACCCCAGGGCTGCTCGAGGCTTGCACAACCGCGCCGCCGAAAGGGCCCAGTCCGGCCCAGCCCGCACTCGTCGCTCTATCCCCCTGGCACTCATGCTGTGTGTCGCAAGGGTGCGAGAGAGACGGGGCGACAAGTGCAGGCGGCAGCGGAATCTGCTTGAGCCTGGCGTTGCCGTGTCGCCAGGTCGGCCGCATCCTGGCCGTGCTGAGGGACGTCATGACGTGCAAGAGGATCCTGCAGATGCGCGTGCAGCCGCTGACGCACGCCGAGCTGGTGACGGCGCTGAGCAGGCACGACCCGGTCTACAAGGAGGAGGAGGAGGCGTTCCTGGCGTGGTTCCAGCGCACGCCCATCGGGCGGCGCAAGGCGCGCGCCATGGAGCTGGAGGAGCTGCAGCGCCAGGGGCTGGAGCCGCAGCCCGCCAAGTGAAGGGACACTGAAAAGCCCAGAACCAACCCAGGGCCAACCCAGAACGGTTCTCAGGTGAGGGCTAGCGGAAACTGCCTAATTGCACTAGTATTGTGTGAGTTTTTCAACTTCCAGGTGGGCCTGGAGGGGAGGGGGCACCTGGGGGGCACACCAGCCACAGCCTATCCTCCATCAACAACTATTGTGTGGTAAAAAATTATTTCCTGAATTGTACTGACACCTGAACAGACACTGCAAATAGTTCCTCTCACAGTTTCTTCTTGACGCTGTTGAGTGTGTTGTATTGTTTCTACTGAACAATATATTTTAACTTTATCTTGAAATAAGTATCTTTCTTAATCCTGAGAGCCCTTACACAACCTGAAATCTCCGTGATACTCTGTTGTTCAAGTATTATATATACCGATCACATACAATTAAGGATGACCCAGAAGGGTGTTCAATTCAACAGCAACTTGACTGATCAAATTCGGATTTTTTTAAAAGTTGTTGAAGGTCAGATATAAATTATCCAGTAGATGACAAAATGTGTTTATTTCACATTCACAGTGGCTGGTTTATATTTACATTGGAAATGAATGGTCAACAGAATTCAGATTTTTAAAACATGATCTACATACTCATGGAAAGTGTCTCTTGATAACTCAGATTATACCACAAAGAAAATTCACTTAAGAGAATCTAAACAAACAAATATTATCCCCCTTCTTGGAAACCAAGTGTCAACATGTTTGAGAGAAAAAGAAAGCTCAATATGTAAGTTCTTAGAGCTAAACTTAAAATGAATAAGGTAACAGATGCGAATCACACAATAGGAGTAGCAGGCGGTGCTGTTGTTGGAGCTTGTGGATTAACATTTTGGATCAGGGTGATGTTATCACCTTTCATCATAATCCTCCCTAATGTCTTCCTCTTGCCAGATTTCTTGTAAACCTCTTCAGCATCGTCTAGGACCAGATTCATATATTCATCAAATCCCACGATGTGTCCTTCAATGCGTAGGTTGACGTTTTCATAAAGCCACACCTGGAACAATAAATTAAATGAACAATCAATAAACACTAACATTAATAAATTCTACAGAAACTCTTCAATAACGAGGCTGGTTAAAAAGAATTTAAGTGCATTGCAAAACAGCACTGGGACAGTCAAGTACATTTGTGATAGGTTAGCAAACCCATACTTTCAAAAAGCCCCAACAATTAAAGTGTCAAAATCATGATGCATTAATGAGATGTATTAAATACACTGTTCTATTTTACACAAGAGGCCCTCATAACAAGCCACACAAAGTTTGAAACAACTTTGCGACACAACTATAACTCCAAATTTGGAGGTTAGGGATGTAAACAAGCCCATGCACAACGCACAAAATCTTACCTGAACTCTTGAACGATTTTGTAAATAACGGAAGATAAGGTTGATGGGTTGTACCATCACCTTCTGGACTTTGGGTGGGCCTTTGTAAGACATCTTGAGTGAGAAATGCTATGGAAAAATTACAATAAACAAAGCGGCACGGGCTTCTCCTCGACGTCGCCGGTACGTTTGTGTGCGTTGTGCGTTTGTGTGTGTGGGTGCGTAAATGCGCGCGCGCGTGCGAGTGTCTGTGTGGTGCTGTTGTACCAACCGTACAGAGGACCCACCGACCGGCACCGGCTGGATGATCGGTTCGTCACACGAATCTCTAAGTGCTTACGACACTCAAAAGTGACCGTAGAACCAATATCAGGGATCCATCAGTTCGTTTATTCCAGCTAAGAGAATAAAATGGAGTTTAGTCGCTTTTGCTGCAGGTGGTCACAGTCGCACTGACATCCCCTCCCGACAGCGCGAAACTTGAAACGGAGTAATGTGGAAAACAAAATGACGACCTTTAGATTTAGATAGAATCGGTCAAAAGGGATGTCGCAGTTTGCTCCAGCATAAGAAAGATTTCGTCCATCTCTCTCAAAGCTGCGTTAAGTTAGTGAGGTCTTAAAACAGACACCTTACCGTCGTCAGACGGTCCATAGTGCAAGTCAAGGGGACACGGGGACACCCCGATCTGCAGTCAAATGCTCTAGCACTGAGCTCTATCCCCAAGAACAAAAGGTCTTGGACCACACTTTTATATTGTTTTTCCGGGCCAGCAGTGTATAGGCAGATGCTAAGTACTCCAACTGCACCCACACCCAGTTCACTAGTGAAATCGTCACATCACCAGCTTCAATAATAGCCAGTTTAGAGAAAGCCCAGAGCACAAAATTTCTGATCCCTTAGTGGTGAGGATTGGGACAGTATTTTAAAAGACTCAAAACAAATAAAGTTTCTGTTGAAAATTTATTTTTAACAGTGATTCTTTTACGTTTTGTCTTAGATACTTGTTAACACATCAGTCTCGAGGTTTAGCCACAGCAGATTACAATAAATCACAATACCACCGCTGTTCTCTCTTTCGATGTTGGCAGCAAAACCACAGCAGCCAGCAGAGCTCAGCGCACACACCAATTTAAATTTAAAGTAAATTAAAAAAAGACTTGCAGCATAGTTTCAAACATTTTAAGCTGTAGAATCTCATTATGGCAGCACAACACTGACCTCTTCCAAATGCTAATAAGTACTATTTTGATTTGTACTGAGTGGAAAGTTATAAAATAAAGACTTTCAAATCAATGCTGCAAGCAGAGTTAAAAATGTGTGTGATGTCTTTGCATGTCAGGAGTATTGTACACAAAGGGCTCAACAAATTCAGTAATGATAGAAAAATAGAATTCAAAAATTAAACTCCTAATGTCAATGTGTACCCTGATTTGTGCAATTATCTGGAGGATTCCAGACCACTAAGAAATGTCTAAATGGACAGGAAACTAATATAATTAAGGCAAGTTGATGGAGTGAGAGCAAAGTACAAAAGGAAGCTAGTTACGAAGCAAGACAATGAAGGAATGGGCAAAGAGGATAAGTTTTGTACAGAAAAATAACTGTACACTAAAACTAGAATAATTTAAAATTAAAAAAAGCAGCTGGCTTTCCACACAAGTCACAAGTACTGATTGAAGAGGAACACATGTAACAACTGACAAGAGACTTCACTGAAATACTGAAAATTACTTTTAAAAAATCCAGTCTCACAGCTACAAAGATCTTAACTTTGATAAATGCTATCAACAACATGTATATAGAATGAGAAATGCAGAAGGTACAATTAGTCAAGGTAGTTACAAGTTCTAATTTGAAAAATAATAATGGAACACCTTGTGACTACAAGTTCTAATTTGAAAAAAAAATAATCATGGAACACCTTGTGACTAATGGAACGCACCTAGCTCACACAATCACACTCATCTTGAGGGTGAAAAGGAAGACTGAACTTTGCCCATTGACAAACTCAAGAAATCCCGCTCACAACCAAAACAAATTCCACTTCCATGAGGAAGCAGAAATAAGCAGTTCAATAAAATTTCTTCTGTCACAATAACATTCTACCCTTATCACGCTTCTTTTTCACATTTGGCTGAATGTTCCCAGGTACATTTGAGTGTACATGGTAACACAGTAAAAATTCAGGTTCTTTCAGTGTGTTTTAAAATAAATTTACAGCTCATCCTTCTTTGGCTGGTCATCATCTTCATCCACATCTTCCGCCTAGAATGAGAAATGTCACATTTAGGATAACAAATTTACAGATAGAATAATTTAAGCACATAAACAAGTATACTTACTTCTTCAGGGGCAGCCTGGCCGTAGGCACCTCCGGTTTCCAAGAACTTAGAGAGACCCTCCAGAGTGCGCTCGCCATTGTACTCAATGACCTTATTGTCACCCTTAGCGTACAGCTTCAATGTAGGGAATGAGGGGATCTTGGTGTGCTCCAGTTCGTTGATGGTGGCATCCATCTTGGCAATAACAATGGCAGAATTGTCCTTGAACTTCTCACCAAGCTGGAAAGGAGAGAACAGCCACATTATTTTCCCTTCCAACAGAAAATGATTTTATTTAAGAAACTAAGAAAACAAACCTGGTCATAAATGGGAGCAAGCTGCTTGCAGTGGCCGCACCAGGGAGCATAGAACTCAACCAGCACATCCTTTTCCTTATCAAAAGCAACCTCATCGAAGTTGGATGAGACCAGGGTCTTGACAGGGTTCTTATCCCAATCCTCAGGAAGGTCCTGAGACAGCAGGTGTTGCTGCACAAGAAAATAAAATGTTAAATTTTGAAGGAAAAATGAAAATTACTGGAAGAAAGAGTAAAGCAAGTTAATTCTAGTCACCTTCAGCTTGCCATCAAGGAAGCTCTGGACAAATGAGCGAATGTTGTCAGCATCAAGCTTGGGGTCAGCAGGCTTGTACTTGGCCATGTCCTCCTCCAATCGGATAAGACGCATGGCAGGAACCTCAGCTTTCTTCATGCCAAAGAAGTCCAGGATACGGTCGTGGTCCTCTTCATCAGCATTGATGGTAACGAACAGGAGCTGTTCGAAAAATATAAAAAGACCTATTATTCGCAAATATTCAATGCTATACAGCTATTTACTGGACCAGAACATAGTTGTACCACTTCAACTGACCTGTTCCCTGAAGCTCTTGGCAACAGAGCGAGCACTCTCCAAATGCTGATCAAAGTGTCCAGCTTCCTTGGACAGGAACATGAGCAGATGGGACTTGATTTCACCTCCAAAGATCTTTTGGGCAGTCTCGTGGTTGAACTCAACGACAAGGGGCAGGGCATTGGAAGAAACAAACTTCTTCAGGACATCCTCCTTTAGTTCACCCTCAAAGTCAGCACGGCCCTCATCGAACTAAAATGGAATAAGATAAATATTAGCTAATTAACTAAAAGATATTAAATTGACTACACCACTTATCTTACAGAACATACCTTCTTGAACAGGACAACCTTGCCATCCTCAACCTTGTACTCAGCAAAGACATCGTCAGCAGAGGTGATACCAAAGGGATAGTCATCAACCATGGCGGCAACATTGAGGAAGACCTTGGCAGCATCAGAGGTCTGGTCCTGCAATTCAAAAATTTTTAATATCAGATATGACAGAAACAAAAGCAATTTAAAAAACACTTTTGGAAATTATTTTTAAATTAACAGCATGACATGTTAAACACAGAAAACAAACCTTGAAGAAGCCAATGACAGCCACACTAGCAGCCTTCTCAACGAATTCCTTGGCCTCCTCCACAGTGGCGAGGGCCTTGGCAGGAGGACCAGTCTTCTTGTTCAGCCAGTTGACAATCTCATCAGCAGTACGGCCACCTAAAAATTGAACATTGCACAACTATTCCAAACAAGAACACAAATGCCACAGATAATAAACCTCAGGGTAAAAAGGTCTACTTACCATTGTACTCAGTGGGGTTGCCGTTACGGAAGAACTTAAGGGTGGGGTAACCACGGACACCATGGCCCTCAGCCAGCTCTTGCTCCTCTGTAGCGTCAACCTTTCCAAGCTTGATGGCAGAGCCGCTCTCAGCCAATTTCTGGGCTGCTTTGGCATATTCAGGGGCAAGGGCTTTGCAGTGGCCACACCAGGGAGCATCTGAAATAAAAAGACAGGTTAGTTACCTTTGCCTCATTTCATAAATTATTGACTATTCTGAAGTTTAGATCCTCAAGACAAGTTTTATACCAAGGACGTTAGGGTTCAAAGGATGATGAAGGAGACTTCACACATCAGGCAACTTGAGAAGTACAACAGGTCATTAACCTTCGGTTACTAAAGTGACCAGTCAGATTCCTAAGTTGCACCACAGTGAGTAAAGCATAGGTCCACCCAAAGTAAAACTCAAATAGAGGGAAACTAAGGACAGTGAAGAGTTCAAGAACTGTATGCCTAAATATTGCACAAAAGAGGTTTAGGGCTAAAACTGAGAACTGGATAGGCTATGCCGCACCACAAAGTTACAAATTTCACAAATCACACGAAAAATATTAATTGTAAAAATAATCTCATGTGAAAGTCAAGACGTATAGAAAGAACGAAAAGACGGGGCCGGCGCGAGACGCAGCAGTGGAGACAGGACAGAGACGACACCGATGACGAGTCCCGGCGGGGCGCTACGGTGCTACGTGTACACCACGCACTGACAGCGACAATCCCACGCCAAAGTCCGAATGGAATCCAAGCGATTTGCAACTCCACGTCAATTAAAACTTGGTAACGGACAAACCCTTGGCAGCGAGATTAATGTCAGGCGACAGCGAACCAGGAGATACAAAGGAAACAGCTGGTAATCCGAGCGGACACTTGCTGGTGTTTTGACTTACAGAACTCGACGAGGATAAATTCGTTGCTGGAAATGACTTCTTGGAAATTGGCCTTAGTTAAAACGAGGACGCCCTCATCTTCCTTGACCTCTTCGGCGCCGGCTGCGAAGGCAACCGCTACCAGCAGGACGGCGAAAAGTGGCCGAATCGTCATTTTCCCGGTGTGCAAGCCCAGACGCCCTACACCTGCCGTGGCTTTGGATAGAGTGAGGACCATTCAGCGCGAGGGCGGCCGGGGCGGCCGTCGTGGCAGCATCGGGTCGTGGTGGGCTCTGATTGGTCGGCTCTCGGCGGCGGGCACCACCCGTGTCATCGCGTTTCAGGAACTGCTACGTTGCACGTAATAAAATACTTGTTGCCATCAGTGCCCTCGTGTGAAAAAATGCCACCATTTGAAAAGGACTGGCCGAAGTAAAATCCCGTATCTTTGAAAAGTCTGACGGCAAGGCAAGGATCTAGCGAAGAGACCAGCGCCAACCTGGGCCGCGGAGCGGGTTTGAAATACACGAAGGTCCTTCACGACTTGAGCTCATTTTGGCTGCCTTTCCCACCTTGTCACACACCGAGACTGAGGAAGTAAGCAGTTCTGAATTTTCTGTGTGTTGTAACCTCCCCTGGTGTCGCTTGTTCTAATCCTAATAGCTGATTTCTGGTAAAAATTGGGTAGGGGTCAGAACTGTCTTAAGGTTATGACGTTCAGTGTGTCTACTGACAGCAGGCCAAAAAGCAAGCAGCAATATTTCACTATGCATGTGAATGTCATTTTAGGTCGGGATTGTTGACGTCGTCAGTCTCATTTGCCCATTCTAGCGATAACTTCGAGTGCGAAACCGTTCTTTTGATTTTAGTGCGAGGTCCTTGGCAAGTTGAGAGTGCCAACGTTGTATAAAATTATTTATGCATGCCTGGGTAGCTGCCGACCTCTAGCGAGGTGAGAGAAATTAAAGCTTTAACTTGAATCTGTGCCTCGAAACCGACTAGTGTGCATAACGTCCCTGGTCAAGCTACAGCATTTACATCCAATGACGAACATGCGTTTTCAAGTTGGCATTGCCGCAGAGCCGGGGAAATTCGAAAGTGTGCGCCCAACAGCTGTTGCAGATCGTTGGTGTCATTGGTCATGACCTAGTCCTAGAGACGGACTCTGACACTGGTCATGACCTGCCGCACGACAAGCACGCTCGATAATCCCGCCCCTAAATCCCAGCGCCTTATCTGTATCAAAGGGCCTTTCGGGTTCGACCCTGCCGTATCGTGTTTTATGGAGGACTGTCGCTTTGCGGACGAGGCCTCGCGCACCCACCCATTTCAGGCGACTTGTTTTACCCTCTCCTCCCCCACGCCATTCGGGAAACCCCAAATCTTCCGAAAAGGCAGTGATTGTCCCTCCACCCTCAAACAGAGGGGGGGGGGGCAGAAGTATGCTATCGGTGTGCGCGAGGCAAAACGCATCGTGGTGGTCACTGGTTGGCAAAGACATTGCAATGAGTGGGCGAGTGGGCTGGGTGGTTTGGAGGCAGAGCTGACGTGGCCGCCAGGCGAGCCCGGCGAGCCGCCAGGGCCCCCGCCTGACAAGACAGGTCGGCGCGCAAAACCGCAAGATAAGGTCCAACAGGAAAACCGCTGTGAGAAGTGCGACGTCGCCTCGATCCAGTTGGTTATTGCTCCAGGTTGCCCCACCTTGCTGCAAATTCCGCCACAAGGCCCGACGCCAGCCCACGCCACGGCGACTGGGCACGCGCAGCACGCGCCAGTGGCGCCTGCGACCCGTCACCGCGACGTGTGCGTGTAGCTACACCGTGGTCGTGCGCGCGGTGGCTTATCGCGGCGACTGGCCTGCCGTAGCCTGGCGTCCCGGCGGCCGAGCAATCACTTTGCGACGCGTCCAAAATTAGCTTTGGCGGACCCGAAAGCCTCCCTGCACCAATTACTGTTGATAGCCAGGCCGTTCCTAATGCCTCGGCCCTCGGGTGCGCCTGACAAAGCTTTCAGTGTAGCCCCGTGGAAACACTTTCTTGGCAGTGTGCGCGATTAACGGTGTAGATGGACCGGCCGGGTGCTCCTCGCGGAGAAAGGTCAAGGTTTCCCACTCCCCCCCCCCTCTCCGGTGCGTGTGTGAGAGCGAGAAAAGGGCGGGGAGGTGAGGTTTACCCGAGGGTTTGCCGCCACGCGGAAATGGGCGCCTTTTGGCGCGGGTCGCCAACATTGCACACACTTTGCTGCAACCTTGAGAGCGCCCTTTGCCACCCCGAAGACAGCGAACGTCGCGCTCAAAGATCGTTGCCCGGCTTCTCGTGAGAAGGGTTCAAACGCATCGCACGCCGCGTTGCACGCATGCAGGACCCGGCTTGCGGGAAATTCAAACAGCTTGTGCGTGCCGAGCTCCGACCCCCCGGTTCCCCCGCAACCATTCCGATCATAGACCAGCTGTGGCAACACGCGAGGCGCCGATGCAGCAGTGTGACAGCTCGCTCTATCCCCGATGGGCTCGTGGGCCGTGTTGACTGTGTTGGTGGTGTTGGTGACCCAATTGGCTGCTTTCAGATGGCGACGGTCACCGAACACCAAGTCACCTCGGAGATCTACGCGGACGAAGGCATAGCCGTCGGCGCTCCTCGCGCTGGGGGATGTGAGTAGTCGAGTGCAAGCCAGGCCTTGGCGCCTGAAGGGTAGGCAGCCCATTTGACACCTCCCTGCCTGCCTGGCGCTATTCGAGGCCTTCATTTGAAGTCACGTCGAATCTATCGCTCTCTCTCTCTCTCTCTCTCTATTTCTCCCTGGGATTCCGCCTACATTGTAAGCGTGTGCGCCACTTTCAGACGTGACCACCAAGTTCTACTTCAAGTGCCCCCTTGCCCCAGGCGAGGGGAAGCAGCTGGAGCAGCTGGAGCAGGACAGCGACGGGGACCTCGTCGTGGAGCGGAGGAACAGGGAGGAGGTGATCCGCATCGGTAAGGCAAAGGCCCTGCGGCCCTGAGGGCGCCCCTTCGCTCTCCAACTCGCCCTCTCACTCGCAGCCCGGGGGCTGTCAAACGCCACCCTCTCTCTTGACCCCCAGAGAGCCGCCTGAAAGGCAGGCAAAAAGCAGCACGTTGCTTCTAGAGGGCGCCAGCCCGACCCGATGGCTGATTCCGAGCACTGCTTGTCGCTCTGTCTCTCTCGCACCCTTGCGGAACGTCCCATGAGTGCGAGAGAGACAGATTGAGCCTCCCCTCTCGCCCCCACAGAGCACAGCGCGTCCACCAGCCTGCGGATGGTGGGGCTGCAGGTGTGGCGCGGGGCGCTGCTGCTGGCCGACTGGGCCGTGCACTGCGGGCCTTCCCTGCTGCGGGGCGCCACCGTGCTGGAGCTGGGCGCGGGCACGGGGCTCACCAGCATCGTGGCCGCCATGCACGCCAAGGAGGTCGTCAGCACGGACGTGGACCTGGGCGGCATCCTGGACCTCATCAAGGCCAACGCCGCGCTCAACAGGGACGTGGTCAAGGCCAAGTTCACCGTGCTCGGCCTCGACTTCTTCGCCGAGCAGTGGTCGCCGGAAGTGCAGGGCAAGCTCAAGGAGGTGTCACTTGTGTTTGCAGCTGACGGTGCGTCGAACTTTCATCTCGAATGCCGCTCCATGTTGCTGGCGAGTTTCACGTTTGTCTCTCTTTTCCAGTTATTTACGACGTGGACCTGACCGAGGCATTCGTTCGGACCCTATTGAAAGTGATGAGCGTGCCACCAAAGAAGACATTGTTCTTCGCTCTGGAGAAGAGGTAAAGTAGGACTGCGTCTGCCGCGATGGCCTTGCCAGGGCCTTGCCAGGGCCTTGCCAGGGCGTTGCCCAGTCGATGAGGGAACGGCTTCGCCGGTGTCAAGTGATTGGCGTCGCGGCCCTCACTTCCCGCGGAGAAACGTAATCGCCACGAAAATCGACATTTTCGTGACGATTTCGCTCTCCTGGGGCTCAAGCCTGCCGATTGAAGTGATGCACTGTGGATTAGCAGTACGAATGTGATTCCAGTAAAGTTGAGTGAAAACTAATTTTAACTATGTGTGTCATCCATTGCAGATATGTGTTCACAACAGATGATTTTGAATCCGTCGCACCAGTTTATGAACACTTTGTGTCCTACCTCGAACATTGCCGACCCAAGTCTTGGACCATTGAACAAATTCCCCTTGACTTTCCTCAATACTTCCGATATGAACGGGTCAAGCAGCTTGTGCTTTGGAAGATTGCATCTTGAGCTACACCGTTAACATTACATGTTATGCTTGTTTTTTGTTGCTGCAGTTTTATGTCGAATCGATTTCGTTGTGCTTGTACTTCGTCTTGTGCTTGTTATTTACTAACATTTCTCCTAAAGTGTTAAAGCATTCACTTCATGCGCGGGTATTTCTCAGTATTGTATCACAATCTGTTAGATAATAATTTGAAAGCTGTGATAGTATTTTCTCGATCCTCGCTGTGATTTTTAGGCTTTGTAGGGCCAATAAAATATTTATTTTTGCACCTCCTCTTCAATTTTCCCCCTCTGCGCGATTCGCGCCACCTGCGCCCGATTCATAATTTCCCGGCCTTGCAGGCAGAGATTCACGCAGTGCGCAGGTGCGCAGCTTCACGTATCTTGGGTACATCCAGAGCCCTACATCACATCAACAATTGTGAAATCAATCGCTCTCTGGAAAAGCATAAGTAAAAGCATCTTGAAACTCTCACGGTCTGGGTCTGACTGAAAATAGACAAAAAAATGTGCTTAATTTTTCATAGCCTGCAAAAGAACACGTGCCTTCTCAGCCCGACAACGACGTGTTTTCGAACGCAATATGGCGACCATTTGTGTAAATCAAAAGTTCGAACTGTATTGAAGTTTGTCTGAATCAACTTATAATGCGTAACAGTGTAGCTGAGAGAATGTCTGATTGACAGCAAAATTATTTTTTGCGTCCCGATTGGCTTTGTTTGGTGTTTCTTGCTGAAAAGTCAGTCAGAAGTGTCATATTGGTTCATAGAGCCGCCTTTGTTTTTGTTTCGCTGTCGAACTGAACCAGCACGACCAGCAGCGATTCTTTAAATGAAGTGTTGTTTTCATGCGAATCAAGTTCATGAACTCAATCGGCAACAACTTTGGAGTGCCGGGTTTGTGCATTGCTGTTCTGATCTTCTGACGCGCAGTGATACTTTCAAGACCACCTTTCCTCTTGTCCCAAGCAACATCTTTTGTTGTTTTCCATCTCATCTCTAGCCAGGGAAGATCTCCTGGAATGTCCTGGGATGAAGATGCTGAGTAATATTTGAAAATGGGAAAATCCTTGCTCGTGGATGTTGTCTTGCCTTCGTTTCACAATAGCTGAAAGCAGTACCAAAAATGTGATGCGCTGCACTTGTTGGTAACGGAAGGGTCCAATCTCCCTTCCGTGAGTCCCTTCTGATTATTTTGATTGAGGCACATACAGCAGAAGTGCCTCCGCTGTTTGATGGCAAGAGGAAAGAAACATTCAAAAAAGCAACAAAATGCGTCGAGTCAAGTTGAAAGAAAAGGGTTAGGTCCCAAACACCATCAACATGTAAAAGCAGCTGTCAAAATGCAGGACAAACCTGCGGGTAGTGCTGCTGTGAGAACCCCAAAAGGTGAATTGCTTCTCGTATGTCCGTTTTGTGTGATACGAATTGTTAGCGTGGGTCTTACCTGTGTCAGCTTGCTGCCACTGTGGGACAAAGACCTTGCCATAGTACCACACCATTCATAACATTGTCCGTGTCGTTCCTTGTTACAGCCAATGGCGTTAAACATCAGCCTAATATGTCATCTGGGCTCTCTTCAGCCTGCTCCAGTCTTGCATTTAATGGACTTGATTCTGCAAAGATCAATCAACAAACTTCAGAAGATTTCAAACGTTGTGAAGAAAGCCATCCCAGCACAGACCAGTGCGACCCTGATTCTGATGGGGAAAATGGTGGCAGCTCAACACTTACCAATGGCTGTGGCATGCACAGCTCTAAAACTATGTGTGATTATTGCTCATTAAATTTTAAGAGTGAATCAGAGTTAAATGTTCATTGTAAATCTGAGGCCCATCAAATTGTTGTAATGTCAGATGGTGGAAGAGAATGGGAGTAAGTGCTATAGCATGTAATTCTAAATTTAGTCTTATATAATTAGATTCATGTATTTTAATGTGGTCCTGCTCTTGCCTTCAAGGTATCGTCCACCTCCTCGAGGGGTAATGGCTGAAGGGTATTCACTGTGTGAGAATTGGGATAAGACATGCAAATATGGAACACAATGTGTTGAGGCTCACAGTGCAGAAGAATTGCAAGAATGGTGTGAAAGATTTGAGTACCGTCAAAAGAAAATCCAACAAGCAGAACAGGAGAATCTCCTTGGAAAATCTTACACTGAACATTTGCTTGAAAAGTAAGTTCAGTTTGACACTTCACATTGAGTTTGATCCTTATGTACTGCCTACCTGTATTTATTTTGTATTTCCTCCCAGGTGGACATCAAATCCAGACAATTTTCTTAAAGAGAATGTTGATTATGCTGAAGATTGTGTTTCTGAGAATCAGTTGACAACAACTGTCTCTAAAGATAGTAAAACAGATTGGACCTTCCTTGTGAAGACGTCAAAAATACTGAAAGCTGTTGTCTTCTTGCAGTTCCCAGATAGGCATCGCTTTTCAATCAAGTTAGTTCTAATCATAATTAAAATTAATTGTAATCTCGCACTCTGATCTGTTCATAATTTTGGCATATTTTTTAGGTGTGTCAAAAGTGTTGTGGGAGGAGAAACTGCAGACTGGTCCCAAGAGGATTGTCAAGAATGGATTTTGCCAGAAACAAATGGCAGATCTATTGAAAATCTCCAAAACAATAACCCTGATTTTGAATACAAACATTCTGTGTGTGTAGAATTTTCTTCTGACATTTATGGAACATTCCGTCAGACCGTTGCTTTCGATTTTGGAGTTGAGCCATTACTGGTAAAGCATTTATGTGTTGATGTAAGACCTGCCTCATTTGCATCTAATGTTGATGAGCTTAAAAAGGTAAGTCCTAAAACTCTCCATCATCTTGCATCCAACCTGCATTTTCTCTTCAACCAAACTTATTCTGTTGTGGTGCGGTTTCAGGAGCTCTTTCTAGAGGAGAGATGGGATGAAAACAACGCAGAGATAATGAAGTTCTCTTGTTCTGACGAGGCCTATTCTGCCTACTCCTCAAATGGGTCAGAAGACTTGCTTCGATTATACCCTACTCCTACGCCATCAACTTTTACCCTTACTCAGTCAACTGTGTCAGAGCGGACAATCACAAAAAACAATTACTCCTCAAGGATGCACGAATTATTGGGTGTTGAGGAAATGGCACGATATCAACAGGTATAGCTGTAATCTTGATCTGTTTTAAAGTCTTTCATCTTGCATATTTATTTTGCTAGATTATGATATAAACTTAATGTTATTACAGGTGGCTCGCTTCAATGTTCGTGCTAAGTTGAATGTTACCAAGTCATATCTTTTAGCCCCTGCTGGCACCACTCATAGCACTGCGAAATATGCACAGAATGATCAACTCTATGCAGTGATGCAACTCACTCAGGCAATCTCGGAGGACACAGCAGCAGGCCGCCTCATCCTCAACAATTGTACCAGTGTCCTTTTATGTGCAGCCGGTACTGTTTAGTCAATATTTTCTTGCAACCTTCACCACTATCTAATTTTTACCCAAAGGTGATCTTGATTGAGCAATTTAATTCTTCAGGGAAATCTTCAAAGCTGTCAGAGGAAGATTCTGTTACAAAGGATCCTGTCAAACGGAAGGTCTTTGAAGCTCTCATCGAAGACAAAGGGAAAAATGTCATTTATTTAAAGTTGTCTTCAGAAGCTGTGAAAGAATACAACATTGTTGGTGGAAAGGTTTTCCATGCTGAAGTGCAATTTCAGTTGAATCGCTTACAATATTGTGAATGGCACCATGCTGTGGACAGTATTGACGACTACAAAATTCTTTTCCCTGAAACATTTTTGGAACCCAACATTCCCTGGAGTCCTCAAAGGTATATTACAATTTTGAATAGCATCAGTGAATTCCTTTTTACTCAATATGTACTTGTTGATAAAAAGTTTGGTACTTATGTTTCAGGCAATGGAAAGAAATTAAGGAAACTAAATTAAATGTCAAGCAAAAGGAAGCTATAGTTGCCATTACAACACCCTTAAGTGTTCAACTTCCTCCTGTTCTCATTATTGGTTAGATGATCCGTTCAATGGAAGATAATGTTCAAAAAATGTATTTGTCTCGTTTGTACTAAATCCTGGTGCTTTCTTTTAGGTCCTTTTGGCACTGGCAAGACCTACACCTTAGCTCAGGCACTAAAACAGCTGCTTGCTGTGCCTGATTCTCGTGTTCTTGTCTGCACTCACTCCAACTCGGCGGCCGACATTTATATCAATGACTACCTCCATCCCTACGTGCTTAGCGGCTATGAAGCCGCCCGCCCTCTTCGCATATACTATCACAAGCGCTGGGTCACTACTGTACATCCAACAGTGCAAAAGGTTTGATATTTTTAAGTGCAAACATTCTTGCGCTGTAAATTTTTCTTAATTTTTCTTACTTGACTCTTATATTGGTTGTGTGTATTTTTTTAGTACTGCTTGATCAAAACTGGTGTTGATGGAACAAGGCGATTTCAACTTCCAACAGCAGAAGACATAATGAAACACAGAGTTGTAGTTGTTACCTTGAACATGTCAATGGTTTTATCTACTTTGGGCCTCAAGAAAGGTAACTTGGCGATTTATCTAATGATATAGACTTGGTGATTTTATAAAAATATCCATACAAAGTTGTGTGAAATAACTATTTTCTCTTTGATCTCTCAGGATTTTTCACTCACATTTTCCTGGATGAAGCTGCCCAGGCTATGGAATGTGAAGCAATAATGCCTCTTGCTGTAGCAGGAGAGAGAACTCGTATTGTACTGGCAGGAGATCACATGCAGCTAAATCCTGAACTATTTTCTCCTTTTGCTAAAGAGCGCAATCTACACATGTCATTGCTGGAGCGCTTATATGATCATTATCCTACTACTTTTCCATGCAAAATATTGCTCACAGAAAATTACAGAGCTCATGAAGCAATCATAAAGGTCTGCTTCCCCAGAATTTTTGAGATTGTTTTGTTGGTTCATGTGTCTCTCCAGCATTTTGATTGTGGCATTATATCTCACCTCTTACCCCTCTCCTCCTGCTTTTCTTTCTCAGTTCACTTCAGACCTGTTTTATGATCAAAAGCTGGTGTGCAGTGGACGACAACCGGGTCATCCCAAATTTCACCCTCTGACGTTTTTCGCATGCAGAGGTGAAGATGTTCAGGAAACTAACTCAACTGGTCATTACAACTTGGCTGAGGTATGCTTTGTCGCTAAATTGTATTCATTTTTATGGTTTGCTTTCCTAATTAATAATATCTTGGTATGTTAGGTTTATGAAATAGCTGAAAGAGTCATAGAACTGAGGAAATGTTGGCCTCCAGAATGGGGTGACCTCAATGATCAGAGTATAGGAATAATGACACCGTATGCTGATCAAGTATTTCGAATTCGATGTGAATTGAGAAGGAAGAATCTTGGTGGCGTATCAGTTGAACGTGTTTTAAATGTGCAAGGTTTGTGATTGAAGATATATCCTATCCTTGGAGTATTCATAATCATGCTCATCTATTAAAGGCATTCATTCATGCAGGTAAACAATTTCGTGCCATATTCATAAGCACTGTTAGAACTCGAAAAACTTGTGACACTCGTATCAAAAGTAACGGCAGTGAAGAAAGTGAATATGGGTTTCTTTCCAATTCCAAGTTGTTAAACACTGCTATTACAAGAGCACAGTCATTGGTCGCTGTTGTGGGAGACCCCATTGCATTATGCTCTCTGGGACGATGCAGGTTTGTGTTTTTTGTTTTTGTCAGATGACAATTTAATATACTTTGTGTTAAAATTTCTATTGTATCCACAGGAAAGTTTGGGAGCGCTACATTCAGTCTTGTGATGAAAAAAATAGTTTGTTTGGAATGCCTTGGTCTACAATTCAAGCTCATTTAGATGGTGTTGAATTTAAAACAAGCTATGTGTTAAACCCTCTTGCACCAGAATTTATACCTAGGGCAAAATCTAATCTGTATAACAACTCTGGTATGTAACCATAGTAATGTATTATTCAATATGTCAATTTCTCCCCCATATGTCTTCCATTGAGAGCTTTGTGTTGCAGGGAATGAATCCTTGGTGTTAAATGGGTACCACTCCCACTTGGCATTTTTTGACCAGTCTGTACCTGGGTCTGGGCAAAGCCAACCCCCATTCCCATACCCACAGCAGTGGTCTGGACCTCGACATAGGTCTGGTCAGGGACCTGGGGTGAGGCCCTTGCCTGCCCCTGTGCCTGCTGCCGCTGCTCCTGTGACTGCACCTAAAGCTGCACCTCCACCTGGGCTCTCACCTGGTTCTGGTGTTGGACCTGGATCTGGATCTGGACAGCAACCACATGTTGATGGTCAATTTTACCCGAACATGTATCGAGTTCCTCGTGTACACAACACCCCTCCTCCCCAACCACAGCTCTTTGGGGCGTTCCCAGCGCCCCCTCCCCAAGCACAAAAATGGGGTGTGCCACCTGATTCCCCCCACCGTTCAGCAATGCAGCAAGCATACCTAGTTGGCACTTGCAGGTTTCAGTCTTCACCTGAAGGCATTCAACCCAGTGCTCCTTTAGGTGCTCCTCGTGGCCCTATGCACGTTGTTTCCCAGGCTGCAAATCCGTGGCCGGGAACTGGCCACCAGGCCAGCCAGCAGGCCAGCCACCAGGGCAGCCCTGTTGCTCACGTTGCTCCACCTGGTTTAGCAGCCAATGCCAACTCCAAGGGCTTTGAAATCGCTGCCCTTGAAAACAAATTGCTGATGCAGGGTGGTGTTGATATTCCAAGTGGTGAATTCACTGGAAATAACTCAGGCAAACTTAATGGAATTGTATTGGATTCTGCTGTGCAAGCATTTGACACAAGCAATAGTATTCAACATATCGAGGTAAAAAAATCTTCCCTTCCTATGTTGACATTCATACCTGTTACCCATCATTACTTAATATTAAATTTATTTTTATCTTACAGTCCTACTCAGCGCAAGTTGCACAGTCTCTGCAACAACCTCCACAACAGATTATACCACAATCTGTCAATCCCACCTTCTTCTCAAACAGGCAGACCCCATACCAGTTGCAGTTTGCCCAAGAGCAGACCTTGCTTCAGCAGCTGTCTCAACAGCATCAACCACCAGGAAATCAGAGACCTGTTCAGCAACAGCAACCCGTACCCAATCAACCAGTAATGGCCACTGGACCGTTTCTGGCTATTGTTCAAAATCCTCTAAATCATCCTGTAACATTAAATGGTGCACAAATCCAACAGCAGCAGCAGTTGCAACAGCATCAACTGCAACAACAACAACACCATCAGCAGCAATTGCAACAACTTCAGCAACTTCAACAGCAGCGACAACAAATGAATCACCAGCTGCTTCATCAACATGAGCAGCAGCTGCAGAACCAATTGATGCAGGTGCAGCCAATATCTGAAGCATTTGTTCATGAGCAAAGGCTGAGAGAAGTTGAGAACCAGCTAAGACTGCAGCAAGAACAGCACCGCCAACAGCAACTACAGTTGGCAATTCTACAGGAGCGTAGGAAACTGTTACTCGGCCATATCCTGACACCTCTAGTAAACTGCAAACCTGAATGGAATAAACTTATTCCCAGAGGAGTCAACTTGCTTGATATGGTGGACAACAAAAGCCAACAGGAAGAGTGGTTTAATCACTTGATTCGACACGGTCAATCTGAAGTAGCAAAGATGTAAGTTGTTCCTCTAGTTTCACTAATGCATGCACAATTACACATACACACAAAAACCTCTTACAAGTCTTCTCTTTGGTTCTAGGTTTGCAGAATTCATGGTGTTGTGTGTCAGAGCAATCACAGCCACAAGTTCCGATCTAAGGCAACCCTCACCCAGTCCTCTTTTAAACAAAATTCAAACACCTGACCAAAATATTAAAATGACTGTGAATTCAGCAGAGGCAAGTTTTAAGAATATACTATTAAGGATATGCTATTTACTGTATAAAACTGTACCTCTTCATTTATAACAATGCAATTATTAAGACTCATCTTTTACAAAATAAAAATATTTGTTTTCAGAGTTTGAAGGCAACTTCCTTACTATCAAGTTCAAGCAACCACCTTGAGCCCTTAACTACATTGGTCCCAGAGGATGATAAAACCAATGTTGTATCAGGAAAGGGGACTGATGAACTAGTAATTATGATGAAGGACTTGGACCCTAAATACATGTTAGGTAGGTATTTTCAAAACCTCAACAACCATAAAAGTGTGTAACAATCAGGGAAAAATAGGAATAATTTTAAATTGCTTTGGTTTTAGGAAGCGACGCATTATTAAATGGTGGAAAATCTGTGTGGGCTATTGCACAAGATGAGTTAGAACGCTGCAATCGCAATGGTGTAAGATTGAAAGCAGGAAATGCAGCCATGCAGAAGTCTCTCCAGAAATCCGACACATTTGACAGTGATGATTCAGGTGATGAGCTGCTTTCATCAATCAATAGACAACTCAACCTACAACAATCAGTGGATGACTGAGCGTATGAATCCTTACCAACGTTGGTTAGTTGTTTATTTGTGTATAGGATGTTAACTCCTTTGGTAGAAGTTGATCTTTGGAAACCTTCTATTTATTTTCCTTTTGATTCTGTTTGTTTAGTTTTTAACTGTAGCTCAGGCAACTTTCAAAATATTAAGAAATTCACCTTTGGGAACCAAAGATAAATGTATTTAATTGTGCTTATGTGTCAAATCAGGAAAACTTGCAATAAAAACTCCCAGTTTCGCCAAAAAAAAAGTTTAAAAATATTGAAAAATTCTTATTATAAATATGGGTAAGAAACATTTTGATGCACAAGCGATATGTTGATGTGACCATATCCTAGAGGGATCATTTCTTGCTTGTTCTTGAGTTCTGTCCCAATTAAAATTGTACTTACAGAGAAGTGCGGCTTTGGGCCCTCTGCTTCTCTGGAACTCTAGCATGTGCATATCAAATGTACTACGCCTACTATGTAAATATTTAGATTCTGGGAGACTTATAACTAGTATTAGCACTAGTTTTGATGTAAGAGAAGTCTTATTTTTTATCATGTATTGGAGGCTTCTCTTAATTAGATGAGTCCCTATTTTCCTTTCTGAGTATATAAAAATACCTTTATCAACTTATAAGTTCAATTTTTAATTGGATGATGCTTCCTATTTAACAAATCCCATATAGCAAAGATGGCGGTGCGGCATTTTTTTTTGTTCTCTTATGAGAACTCAAGCGACTGCTTACTGGCAAAACATATTTTAAAGCATTGTGTACAAACTTAGGGAGTTAGGTTTATTTTGTTTTTTTCTTCTTACGAAATTAATTATGAGTGCAATGCGTATGAATATAGAATGTTGATGATTTTGATCCTGCATATGAATATAGAACGTTGACGATTTTGATATTGCATATGAATATAGAACGTCAATGATTTTAATCCTATCTAATTTAACTGTGCAGTGGCATTTATTTTCTTAGTTTGACCTTAACTTGGCATGACTGTGACTGTTAATTGAATTGCATATCCTCTATTGACTGTAACTTCACAGTAGAAGTTTATTATGAGTTTAATGTATGAAAAATGGTCATCAATTCGAAGTTCCATGATTTAGATTGCATTACATTTAAATGTCATCTTTTTAAACGTGCCACCCAATGCATTTTGAAATAGAGCCTGGCTAGTGTTCATCATCGTCTATACATATTCCATTGATTCTTCCGAACAATGTGATTGCTCTTGCATTTGTTTAAACAATTCCACTTTGTAGAAAAGCGTAAAAAGAAGAAAAAAAAAGGAAAAGTGCAAAGCAGAAATATGAGATGTATTTGAAAGTTTTGCGGCAAATGAAATGTGTTCGATAACATTTATCTCCATTGAAGTATGTCAATCTCAATGTGAATTTTTGTGAGATTGGTAAGATTGATTTTCAGTACACAAAGTTGAATTCTATTTTCCTTGAATTACTTATTACTAAAAATTTGGCATCTCTGTAGTGTCTTTGTTGTTCGCTATTGCTTTTGATGTACTATAATGTAACTGATTTACTTCTCTATATTTAAAAATAACATTTTCTAAACAACAGGCCCATTGTATCAACTTGAGTTTAAAGAAATGAAGTTCTTTAGAAATTTATGTTAGCTTTCACCGAAAGGTATCTTAATGCTCATATTTTGACAAGTGTTAAAATGAGAGTTCGGGCAAAAGTTATGATCTCAGTTTTAAAATTTTTGATGGAACCTGCTAGATTTTATACAGGTTGGCTGTGATAGCTAAGCTGAGGCTCGGGGGCCGCGTTTTATTTTGGGCTTGTCCTTAAGAAGTATATTATTATTATACTGTATCTATCAGTTTATCTTAACTTCCTGAGATTTTGAATTGCTTTCTGTGAAGACTGTTAAGGAAAGATAGTCTCAAATTTACATGGTTGTTGCTGTGTTTAAGTTAAAAATGTGTCCCCCGATGATGTTGCACCATCTATTGATTCAACATTCCCTGCACCCCTCTGCTTATGTTCATGCTCATATCCTTTACCCTGTGCTGGTTCGATGATGAATGATAATTGTGTGCGACATTTTTCATCCACTGGGGACACTGAACTTTAACTGTAACATATAATATAACAATGTAATCATCTGCCTATTAGGCAGACTAACTATGCTTTGAGTAGAGAGTTCTTTGTCAACTTAGTGTCTCTTTGTGTAAAATGTTCAATCAAACGTTTGAACCAGCTCTTGTTCTCTTTGTTTATTTGTTTTGTTCTTGTTGTATCTATATTTGTACTTGTACTCCTGGGTGAGGTGGTAAGCTGCCTGGTCTTCTTTAAAGTTGACCTTCACCCCTCCCTTTCTCGTACAGTTCAAGTGGCCATTTTATGACATGATGTGTAACATATTGTAGTTCTCTTGGAGATATGAAAGATTAATTTATCAAAGTCATTTCATAACATAACCCTAAATGTGGTCTGTAGGGCTGCACTTCCATTTGCTGTTATTGACTGCTTATTTTGCTGTTAGTGTAATGTGATGAACATACTTTAGGGGTTGTACTTAAGTTTTAAAGCAAGTAGGAATGATCTGATGGATAGAATTAATTTATTTACAATACCAATGCACACATCTGTGAGTAGTTTTGTGTGGTTGGCTGATTGTTTATCTTAAGGACTGATAATTAGTGTCATTTTAGGAGGAGTTTCATGAAAGCTGAATTTGAAATCTGGTGTTCTACATCGCTTTTTTAGCAATGTTATTTGGTTATTATTTTAAGTAACAAATAAGTGAAGCCGTGTATTTGGAACATGCATGCCTAGTCAAAATCAAATAATTAATGTATCTTTTGTATCTAAAACAAAGAAAAAAAATATGAGAAAAAGTTATGACTTTTAGATGCATTTTGATGAGGTAGTATGTCACCTTACTATACTTCTTGTAAATAAATAAAGGGTTCTTGAGTCATTCTTTCTGTTGACAGGAGGATATTGTACAATATAATCTGGCGTACAGCTGCAAATGTTCAGATTGTCGTCATTGTATAGTTTTGTTAGGTACCACTGTATTGATTTGCAAGATGATGTATGAAACTGTACTAAATAGGACAATTCAATTGATTTGACCCTTTGCTGAGATATATTTTTTAGATTTTATTTTTATTTACGTTTATCAACTGTCCAAACTAATGAACTTCAATTATGGATTGTTACTTTTTCATCAGGACACCCTGATTTCAACATGCTGCATCAATTATTTAGTAGTCTCTGTTGCAATTTTTTTCTACATTTTTTCTACATTTTCTCACAGTCTTTAATTATTTTTCCTGTTTTGAGATAGGAGGTCTGATATAACTGTATAACTTCTGCATACAAGTGGATAAGTTCAATCTGGGCCTGTAATTATCATTTTGTCTTTGATAATTTTCTTGGATGAAGTTAATCTCATAAAATTTTATATCCATTTATGACATGGCCATTTTGTTGCCTGGACTTGGAATTTTTCCTAGGACACACCAATGAATGTATATATAATTATACACTCAAATTTTGCTTGAACTACCTATTTTATTGTTAATAAAGAGGGATCCGTCATTTTGTTTACTTTTGGACTTTTTGCTCATTTATTCAATCCTACCAAGAAAGACAAAACCAATCAAAAGTGACAGCTTCAAACATATGTGAGTTTGTGCTTGTAATGCTGGCACGAGTTTCAACCTTTGCAAATCAATTGCACTCAAGACTGCAAGCGCTGCAAGCATGGAGACACACTGTGCCCCGAGTCGTACTTTGGGGGAAGCGCCGCGTGCGCCTAGGAACCGGTGGAGCAGGACCAAGGAGGACAGCAGTAGAGTCCTAGACCCACACAACCAACCACTCACAACAGGAACGCACGGCGATTTCTCATTGTGCACGGTGAGGCCAATGGCCAATGTGAATGTGGGTGTGCGGCGTGCAGAGGCTTGGGGTGGGGGGAGGAGGGGGAGGTGGTCGTGCTTGATGAGCACCCCATTCACCCTTCATCACAATCACACAGTCTGCCACAGCTATGGCTGCAACTTTTCAGCAGTTCGACCCACCGAGCTCAGCCAGCTCGGACAGGTACGTGGTTGACGCTGTGCGGTTTGCTTCCTGGTTGATCCGGCGGGTCCGTGTCATTGATTTCGAATGCGAGGCGAGGGTGCCCTCGCATCGCGCATCGCAGTGCCACGGGGGAGCGTGCTGCGCCATGCTTTCTGCTCGGCCGTCGGCTGGGCCTCGTCCGTCCGGTCGAAACTCGCTCTCTCTCTCTCTCTCTCGAGACTAAACGCACTTTGCAGCGACAACGACAACGGCATGCTGGCCCTGCCGCGTCGCGACCATTTACTGCCAGGCTCACGTCCTGGAATGATCCCTCCATCGCCCGTAACTGCCAACTCGTCCTGTCCCGGATGGACCATTGCCGGAGCAGACGGCCGCGGCCGCGATGTTTGTTTACTTCGCTCGCCTCGTCTCGTCTCGTCTCGTCCTTATCTGCTCGTATTCGTGTCCCGCTCTGCGGCCTGCCAATTTGCTGATGGCTTTCATTGCCACTAGCAATAAGCGCCGTGTAGCAGGCATCAATGTAAATGACTTGTCACATCACTTCTTGTACAGTGTGGTGGGTGCTTTCAGAGGGCCTACTGTACGCTGTTCCTAACATTTGTTTTCTCGTCCCAGCGAACGATGTGAAGATGACAGAGTGTTCCCGTCGGGCGTGGAGTGTGACGAGGACGGCGATGTCGTTGACATGTATGGGGTGCCGCAGTCTCCTCCACCCCACTCACCTCGGCCACCATCAACTGGTGCGTTATAGAATTATTTTATTTTATTTTGTTCCTCTAATTCGGCTAATTTAAGTCAGAGTCTCCAGGTTTAAGGAAAATATTACAAAAATATCCGAGTTCCATGCTAATAAAGATATCTTTGTTTTGAAGGATCTCAGAAGTCCCCTCGTTCTCGGAGGCAGCGTACCACTTCCCTCTCTCAATCGACAAAGAAGACATGCTCGGAGTCAATTTTAAGAAGTCACACTAGGACCATTTACACAGCGGGTCGACCTCCATGGTATGACTCAACAGGGCAGCAGGTTGAACCATTTGTTATTGGTAAGTTAAACATGTGATGTATTTTCACTAACCTTCATCTTCTGTAGGAAATAAAATAGGAACTCTTCACGACCAACATCACACTTGCTGTTCTAGGTATTTGTGGAGGCAGTGCATCAGGAAAAACAACAGTTGCTGAGAAGATTATTGAGTCTTTGGATGTACCTTGGGTCACTCTTCTCAGTATGGACTCCTTTTACAAGGTCTAAAATTCCTTCATTTCAGTCTTAATACGTTGCTACAAGTTGAAGAAGAGCCAGCACTCAAAACAAAAGAGTGTCGTAAAAACACCGCTGAAACCAGACGAAATGGGAACTAGGAAGACTTACAAACAACATGGCAATGAATTAATCTAACTGGGCACAATGGCAACAGATTAAGAAAATCTCCTGAAGTGTCCTTGAGGACACTTCTGCTCTGTCGTAGGGCTGGAGAATGAACGGTTAAAAATAAAATTACAATAGTCATGCCAGTAATCTTTAAACATGTGGCTATAGTCAGTACCAAAATAAGAATTTTTCAAATCTTTTGGGTCTCTCCTTGACAATATATTTTGAACTCAATTGCTGTCTTATTGATTCCTACTATTTGTTTCCATATTTACATTTATGTCTTCCATTGCAGGTCTTAAATGAAAAACAACATGACCTAGCTGCCAAGAATGAATATAATTTTGATCACCCAGATGCTTTTGATTTTGAGTTATTAGCTGAAACTCTTCAGAAGCTTAAGGAGGGTAAAAAAGTTGAGGTCCCTATTTACAACTTTGTTACTCACTCAAGGGAAAATCGAACGGTTAGTATTTTGTAAAACATCCCTCTTTTTCTTGTGAATATTGTCTTAGTTTCAAGTCAAAATCTTATTTCCAGAAAACTATGTATGGAGCTAATGTTATTATTTTTGAAGGGATTTTAACGTTCTATAATGCAGAAGTTACAAAGGTATGTATGAGTCCAATCACAATTTTTTTGTTGTAATTTGGGTGCCGATATTTAATTTCTGATTTACTTTTCTTGGTCTTGTTAGATGCTAGATATGAAGCTATTTGTTGACACTGATGCTGATGTAAGGCTGGCTCGTAGATTGCGCAGAGATATATCTCAAAGAGGCCGAGACTTAGATGGAGTTTTAAAGCAATATTGCAACATGGTTAAACCAGCATTTTTGCATTACATTGCACCTTCAATGGTTCACGCTGATATAATTGTTCCAAGAGGAGGGGACAATACTGTGGCCATTGAGCTTATAGTCCATCATGTGCATACACAACTGCTGAAGGTAAATCCTCTTGAAGCATGCCTGTTAAGCGATGCTTAGGACTCTACACATTCTTCTGCCTTTTTATTTTCTCAGAGAGGTTTTAAATTGAGAGAGAAGCTTGCACACTCGTATATTGGCCAACCTTTACCCGATTCTATGCACTTGCTCCCATCTACTCCACAAATTTGTGGCTTGCATACCCTCATACGCAACAAGGACACTCCCAGAGATGAATTTATATTCTATTCTAAGAGGCTGATTCGTCTTGTAATTGAGTATGCATTGTCCTTACTTCCATTCAAGGTAATGTATTCTATATGTGTACCAAGTAATTTTCCAGACACATTATTATTGATGAAGAAAATAACCAAGTAAACCGTCTCCACTTTTATATCAGGAAGTTGTTGTTGAAACACCCCAGGGTGTTATTTATGAGGGCAAAAGGTGTGCCAGTGAGAAGATATGTGGTGTATCGATATTACGGGCAGGAGAAACCATGGAGCAAGCTGTGTGTGATGTCTGCAAGGATATTCGCATTGGAAAGATTCTCATTCAAACCAATTTTGATACGGGTGAACCTGAGGTAAACATGTACCTTGGAATATGATCAAAGCTTATAAAAGCAACTTAGTTTGTCTTTAATGTAATTTAAACATAATTATTTTTTTTAAAAATTGCAGCTTTATTACTTGAGGCTTCCTAAAGATATTAAAGACTACAAAGTTGTTTTGATGGATGCAACTGTGGCAACTGGTGCAGCTGCAATGATGGCCATTCGAGTCTTGCTCGACCATGAGGTTCTTGAACAGAATATTCTCGTTGTCTCATTACTTATGGCTGAATCTGGTAAGAAACCAATTAAAATTTTGGACAAAGTGCTTTTTAGTTGGCATTTTAATGGAATTTATTTTTCTGTTTCAGGTGTTCACTCCATTGCATATGCTTTCCCAAAAGTTCAAATTGTGACCTCAGCATTAGATAAAGAAATTAATGAAAAGTTTTATGTATTGCCTGGCATAGGTAATTTTGGAGATAGATATTTCGGAACTGAGCCTTCTGATGAATGTTGAATTGAAGGCAAAATATTACGTGCTAATTTGGAAGTTAGGCTTTCTGAACATCTCAAACTTAGTGCTATGGATGTGTGCTGATGCTCGATTGACTACCACACAATTTGTATGCAATGACAGGTCTGAAGGTTATTTAAGGTGATTTGAAACATGAGTAATACTCTGGTCATTACCTAGATTGAATATTTTTATACCTGATGGCTTATCAAATTTATATGGGTCCAATGTTTTTACTGTCCTTTTTTCTCTCTTTTTCTTTCCTTTCTTTTTTGCCGTGGGTGCTAAGTAACAGCCAGATTTTGCAGGCTGACAGGTATAATTATCAAGCTATCATTTCAAATATTGTTTTGAATGTGTTCCTTTTATTATTACCTCTATGTTCCTATGAGTACATGCTATCTTGTGTACACACTTTAACATGCAATGTGTTAGTTTTGATTTTGACTCTATTGTTGGTGTGGTATCCGTCTTAATTTAAGAAAAAACAAAACAAAAAAAAAAGCTAGTAATGAAGTGGCTTAGACAATGCTAGTCTTTCTGTTGTGCCCATTTGTTACAGTTGCCAATTATGTTTGGTATCTGACTTAAAACTATAAAAAGGGATAGCTCCACCTCAAGTAAATTAATTTGGACAGAGCAGTGGGTTATAAGGCTCAGTTTGGTTCATCAGTTGCATATTCTTGTGTTTATTCAACAGAAAGTATTATAGAACTCTTTAGGTTTGTATTTGTAGAATGCTCTCGATTTTATTTAGTTCTTGAGTTTTTGTGAAGTTAATATTTATGCAGATGATTTTTAAAATGATAAGTATTGAACGCTATGTATTTGTTTTTGTCTGTGCTTTGATTGTGATCATCTAAAGCCAGAAGCTAAATGGACTTCCCAGTGAAATTCGCCCAGTCAAAAAATTTCTTTACTGTATAGGTTTTTTTATTATGATGGGTTTTCTTTATGACTTACTGTATTAGTATCTTTCCCTGCAGTTAGCCAATTTTCTCTAAATGTGATGTTTTCTCCTGTGTTGTTTCTGAAACCAGTCATAGGACATTGTTATGATGTCCGTGTTAATGATTTGTATTTATTGAACTTAAGAATGAACTTAAGATGTGAAGGTGATTGTTGTTTTTAAATTATTTGTTTGAATCAAAACATTAAATTTCTATTTGTATTTGTTCGTACAATATTCTTTTGTTATTTTAATGTGTAATGTTGTGAAATGAGATGATAAACAATGAATTAAAAAGCTAAGTGAGATGCTTCTTGCTTATCCATTTTGTCTGCTGGATGTGTCAAAGACTATTGTGCTCCTGGCATCTGTTTCTTAGCCATTCCATATAAATTTCAGGGTAAATCTAATCTGTCGTGGTTGGCTATTTTTGTTGGAAAAAAAAAACTAAGGCTTTGTCAGTGCTAATTAACGTTCTGAGCACCGTACTCCCAATACAGTAACCTTTTTCTAGCATAAAGCTGGAATCATTTAAACATGTGCCTGAGGCAACCAATCTTCTGCAATCTTCCACAAGCTCTTCACTGCACCAGAACTCGCTAGCGGCACGGGTGCAGTTATCTTTTGTCACCTTTGACACGCCACGCCGGGAAGATAGACCACCCTTTTGGCACCTCACAGGGAAGACGTGCACAAGGCCTAGATAGTTGAGTTAACCAATCTACTGGGAGTGGAGGAATCCTCTTCGTAAATGTCACTTGAAGTGCAGTCCTTGAAACCGAGGCGACACGACCTCGGGGGGAACACGAAAACAGAATAGCTTAGGTTGAGCGGACTTTGGATGGGTCTTCGCCTTCTTGGCTCAGCTTGAGTCCGCGAGAGGATGACTGGCACTGATACAACAACAACAGTTTGATTGACAATAACAAGACAGTTGAAGCGTTGAATCTTCAGTTCATTCTCACACTCCGAGGGGGTCCTTAATTTAGTAAGTGAGGTGCTAAGACATCCCATTATCTGCGTATAGTAATAAATTCATCTTAGTTCCATCATTTTTCACTTTGTGTGGTGCAAGTTCACCTCGAGCTGTTTATTCATAGACGCAGGGTTAAGTACGTCGCTATATTTGTTCCTTTGTTTGGTTTATCGTGCTTGAAAGAAATCTAGTGTTAAATTTCTATGTATAGCCAAACTTTAATCCCAAAATAAACAATTAGTTCAGGCACGCAGTGGAATAAAAGCATTAACCTGTTTGTGAGGTTACTGCCACAGTAATGACAGTTGAAATTTGTCTGAATTTGTTAGAAGAATATGCTTCTTGTTCGGAAGAAAAATGTAAAGTCTCGTGTCTAATTCCCTTGTCCTATTCTTCCAGCTGTCTCATTATGTTTCTATGGGACTGGATCACTGGCGTCCTTGGATACTTAGGTATTGTCATTTTTCACTTTTTGGAGCTGTGTTTGAAGAGCCATGTCACCTAAAAGTTATCTTTTATTTGCTTCCTTATGTTTAGGTCTTTACAGTAAGTCAGGGAAACTTCTCTTCCTTGGCCTTGACAATGCTGGTAAAACAACATTGTTGCACATGTTGAAAGACGACCGACTTGCACAACATGTACCTACACTTCACCCAAGTATGCTCAGTTTTCATTTTCACGTTTACCTGTGAACAGTTGATACTTGCGTTTCGTGGGTCTGATGAAGTTTCTTTCTTTCTTTGCTTCTAGCTTCTGAAGAATTATCCATAGGCAACATGAAATTTACCACATTTGATTTGGGAGGGCATCAACAAGGTATGTTCGTTTATATTAAGGATTCCAACCAATATTGGAATAGTGCCTAATGAGAAGTCCCAGCAAATATACCATTCATCAAATTTTGAGTTTTTATCTAGAAACTGTTTGTTTCCTTTCAGCTCGCCGAGTATGGCGTGACTATTTTCCAGCAGTTGATGCCATGGTTTTCTTGGTAGATGCATGTGACCGCTCTCGTTTAACAGAAAGCAAGGCAGAGTTGGATGCTCTCCTCACAGATGAGACTCTAGCTAACTGTCCAGTTCTTGTTCTTGGAAATAAGATTGACAGACCAGAAGCTTGCTCTGAGGAGGAACTTCGTGGCTTCTTTGGCCTTCATAGTACTACTGGCAAGGTAAGGCTACTGTGTCCCACGTGTATACTTTCCTGTGGTTGGTCTTGTAATAAGCAGTTCTGTGTTATTTTTATTCCAGGGCAAAATCCCCAGAGCAGAAATTCGAGGCCGACCGTTAGAACTGTTTATGTGCTCAGTTTTGAAACGCCAGGGATATGGAGAAGGTTTTCGTTGGCTTGCTCAATATATCAATTAAATACCGTATGAGCATGAAGGCAAGCAGATTGCTTTAAATTTTGTTCTACCCATGGGGAATCATGGGCTGTGTTCAATTTTGTGGGTTTGAAGGTAACTGCAAAAGGGCCTGTTTTTTCTCCATATAAGTGGCCAATTAATGTGTGTTTTTCTCCTACATTGAAAGATCTTTGAGTTGACTTGTGGTCTAAGTCAATGGTAGTGATGAGGACGTCTTTACTTCTTACTTGAAGTGATCAGCTCAGCAGTTTGATACAATAGTTTTAAGAGTGGAACTGATTGCCAACACCTTCCTGTACTTGATAAGTTGACTCCTTTTGGATTGGCTATCAAAATAATTGTCTGTGCTTTAGACTACAGATATGGTTGCAAGTCCACTGTTAGTTCTTAATTTGCCACAAGTCTTCATTTTGTGGTGTAGTATTTAGTAAACTATCAGCTTTCCTCAAGGAATAAGGTGCTGGCCTACATTGGGGTGTATAAAATGGCATTGCTCCAGAATTTTTGGGGGATTCCAGCCCTTTCAGATTAGAAATAAAAACCTTATGAAGTTGTGTCTTTATGTCTAAATTTCTTCTTTTTTTGAATTTCATATAAAACTGAGCAATTAATATTGCTCATTGCTTGTGGTAAATTGAGCTGATTGTAGACCAAATTGTATTTCACCCCACTAAATTAACTGTTTGTAATTCTGCAAGTACTTACTCTTTTTAAATTAATTTCTCCCCCCACTCTAGTCAACATAGGGTGATGATAATGTGTGTGATACTGGCTTATACCAATTTTCTTAGTAAAATTGCTTTCAAACAAGTAAATTGTTTTTTCTCTCGCACCCAGTAAATCATCTGATATGTGCAGTTTCAGAACTCTCCCTTTCATCACTTGTTTGAATCACTTCTTCCTTTCTATTCTAGAACGGCGATTTTCTGCTTGTCAGAAAGCGTAGTGTTCTGTGGAGTTTTGTCTCAGGACCCTACACTGCTGCAACAGGATGTAAATTGAAGCAGTGGAAACAGAGTTCTTGTAAGTTGTTTATTTTCACAAAAAGGTATTTGTAGTATGACAGCAGATGTTGAGTAGCACAGGATTTGAAAATGCATCCAAAAAGAATCAAAGACAGTCTGAAACTAGACACAATTAGTTGACTTTCTATGATTTGATTGAAGAGCGTTTCAAAATAAGAGAAAGCTACATACAAGAGAATTGTCATATTCAGTTAAAAATACCTCTATTAAACAAAATTCATTCTTAACCAAACATCCTCAGTGTAAAAATACTGGAAGTAAAGTATGATAAAACCAAGAGACAATACAAGACTCAAAAGGGTGACAAAGGAAGAGCAAGAGCCTTGTCAGCCAGCACTATTAAACAGACACAAACATCCTAACTTTTCCATCCACAATTTCTTAAGCAGACTCATTCACACAAAAGGCTTCTATTATTTTCCAACAACAAAACAAGAACTTGGCAAGCATAAAGTCATATAAAACTCTTTCACAACAGTTAAGAATTGACATGTGTAGAGAAAAGTCTCTACATATTAAAGGAATAAAGGTACTCACATCTCAAAAAGATTCACAGACAGTTTAAGAGTAAAACTCATGATATAACACCAACCACAAAAGGGAGAGGATAAGGGGTGGGAGAGGAGGGGCAGGGATTATAGTTAAAGAGACTTTGTTTACAATATACAATTTGTACATAAACAGATATAACATAGAGCACAGAAACTGTGTCAAAGTAACGTGCATAACTTATCAATGGAAGAAAGTTCCATCCAATGCTAAATTCATCTATATGTGACTTTTTTTCTTTCATACAAGGGAAGCAAAAGCAATTGGCTTTAGGGACAGGTACATTTCAAAGTTTCAATTTGTGCACACTAATCAGGTCATAGGCTAGCTCTACAAACGAATGAAAGAACAATTAAACAATATTGTTAAAAATGAAGAAAGAGTGGGAAGGTATTATATTTCCAGGCACAATTCATAAAAATCAAGGGATGTAGAACAGAAACAGGTGCTGTGATGCAGAATTAACATGTCCAGCATGTCATCTGTCACCAGATGAAATCGCCTAACCATTTAAAAAGAAACCACTGTTCCTTTGAAGAGGAAGCCTCATTGATTTATGGAATGCAAATGAAACAGTATTCAGTTTATTTAAAATCAAGATTTAGCAAAATTGTAAGCAATAAGCCACTCACTCACTCACTCACTCTCACTCACTCACTCTCTCTTTTTACTCTCTCTCACACACAGACACCTACAATGCACACTCAACACTGTTAGTTAACTCAACATATACTGAATTTAGCAAAGTCATCCTTCTCTTTTGATAGATTTGTAATCAACATCAACATAAGGCCCAGTAGTTGAGAACAAAACTGAGAGATTGCTTTTAGTGCCTAGAAGACCATCATTACACTGACAAAAAAATCTTGGTTGAGGAGAAAATGATTAATCCCTTCATAGAAAACGGGTCGGGGAGCTGAGTAAAAATATCCTTCTCCTGAGAGAGTAGACAAAATTTGTAAACCAAAGAAGCCACACAGAAATTAACATCAAATATGGATACAGTGGAAGACCTATTTCTTAATTATATTTTTTCTCTCAGACATAGGCATAGCAAGATAAACCAAACACATGATTTGTCTAGAAAGAAAATATAACTTTATAAAATATATCACCCATAGACAACATTGCAGTTCAACTGAGAAATATCTACTGTACACTTTGAACTAATGGAATTGACAGATTAAAAATTCTGCGATTATAGTTAAAGCTTAAAGACAATACAAATTTTTAAAGAAAAATTCTAATGTGCATTTTGACTATGTCGAAGGAGAGAAACAGAAGAAAAAGAATTTTCCTGTTTCTGAGTTCCTTCACCAAACTAGGATCCACTTCACTGAGATTTTTAACCTTCAGCTAAAAGAAACATGAAGGGGAAAAAAATTCCCATCTCAATAATGAAGTCTTGAGTCCTTTCTTACATAAAACATAAACATAAAGTTTATGAAACAAAGAGATTCTCCCTATGAAACAATTTTCTAGTGAAGCCTTTGAACACATGAGCATCAGGTAAATTCATCCTCACAATAAATAGAAATGTACAAAATTCTTAATCAAAATCAACCTCTCTAACTTACACTGTTTCATTCAATTTCTTATAAATACAAATTAACTCCCAGTTTCTTCAATTACATTACCTACTAGGCCAGCCTTTAAAAAATATAAACAAACGCTCAGAACAATTTACAATAGTTACGCATAAATACCCAGCCGATGAATCTTTGCTGACAAGAAACTGTGTAAGATGAAGACAAATGGTTTTGGACACGATTCCAGGTCGAATTCCTGTAACCAAAAATCAACGCACGATAAGACATGACAAAAAGTGCAGAGAGAAGGAAAGGAAGGTGACAAAGAGAGCTAGAGAAAGCCGAACTGACCATTTCTCCTTCTTCCCCGCCAACGTCCATCCAAAAGAGTCTGATGCCGTCGTCCCCGGAGGAGCGCAGGCGTTCGAAGGGAATCTTGAACAGCACCCTCTGCTCGCGGCCGAGCGTGTTGGCCTGGCCCTCGATGAGCGTGAAGCCGTCCTCGTAGTGCAGCAGCAGTTGGCACGGCTTCCTCTGGAACGTGCACCCTGCGGGACAAGGACAAGGACAAGGACAGAGGCAATGAGGACCAAACTGCCGGCAAGGAGCGGCAAGGGAAGGGGTACTCACTGCAGGCGAGCTCCCGCTGCGCCGCCACCGCGTTGTGGCTGCCCTGCACCAGGGTCCGCGCCCACGCCGCCAGGTCGCGGTGCGTCTCGGCGCGCAGCGTGTGCGTCGCGATGCCGTCCTGGGTGCCGCACCGCAGCACCATCGAGATGGCCTCGGCCTGCCTGCCGGAGCTCACCAGCCTGCAACGCCATGCAACGCCCGGCGGCAAACGGGTCAGACTTGTCGTGGCGAGCCGTGGCCCTGGCCTGCCCTGGCTCTCTCTCGCACCCCCACGAGCCCTAAGGGAGTGCGGGAGAGACGGGGCGACGAAACTGGGCCGATACCCACCTGGTCGACAGCAGCGGGCAGATCTCGCAGGGCGAGGCCCAGGCCTCGGGGCTCCAGGGCGCCGACTCGTACAGCCGCATCTCGCGGTCCGTCATGGCCGCGAACACGGCCTGCCAGGCCTGCTGCCGGTCGGGGTCCTCGCTGCTCTCCGAGTTGGCCGCGCCGTTCTGCAGCACCACGGACTGGAACGGAGTGGAACGGAGGCCGAGGGGTGAGGACACAACGACCAACAACAACAACAACCGCCGGCAAGCCGAGGGAGGGAGGGCTGGAGGAAGGTGGCGAAGACACCCCCCCCCTCCCCGGGGCAAACCCGATTTGGCGGGGCTGCAGTCCCACCTGGGCCGGGGCTCCAGGCTAGCAGACCCCCGCCCCCTCTTTTATTCTGGACGGAAGTGCAAATAAGTAGCGGGCCCTCCGCGACTCCGTGCATAAAGAAGCAGCCAGCCGGGCAGGCAGGCAGGCAGGCAGGCAGCCCGCTCTTTCACCGCCGCGCGCTAATTCATGCCGGACGAACAATACTAGTTGCGGGTGGCGGCCACCCCGGCCACCCCGACCGCGGGACGGGGTGGGGTTGGTTGGAGCGGTGCGACGCGGTGCGACGCGTTGGCGCGGATCAGAGCGCGCCAGACCGCAGCCACCGCGCTCGCTTATCAATTGTGCAGCGCCACTCGGGAAGAGTGTGGTGCCAGTATGGACGGGGGAACCGCCGTAAAAACAGAGCCACAAAGAGACCCACCTGCGCAGGGGTGTCGGCGGGCGCCTTCCTCGCCAGCCAGCCCATCAGGAGGATGTCCAGGCCGGGCACGACGCGCGACGCCTGCTGCACGGCGCGCAGCGTCAGGGAATGCAGCGCCGAGTGCAGCGCGTTGAACCACGCCGTGGCGTCCGCCTGGTCCGCGGCGCGCAGCACGCACGCGTGCACGCCGTCGGGGGAGTGCAGCTCCAGCGTGCGGCCCTCTGCAACACAAAGTCCTGTCAGTCGCCTCGGCAAAGCAGCAGCAGCAGCAACAACAACAACAACAACAAGAACAACAACAACAAGAACAAGAACAACAACAACAACAGAAGTCCGTGTGGGCTGCTGCTCGGTGCTCGGAGTTCTCGGAGTCTCCGAGCGCCCGCGAACTGCGGGGTAGGCCAGCCCGCCGAGCAGCCGAGCCGTCGCGCGGCCTACCCGTGACGCCTTTCCCCTCCAGAGCCTTTGGACGCGGCCGGACCAAGCATGCCCTGCCCTTGGCCCTGCCCGCCGCGGCATGCCGTTCCTCCGGGAGGCCTTGCGGTGTCGCGGTATCGCCGCGACGCAGTGTCGCCAACACAACTCGAGGCGGGAGAGAGGACGCGCACAGTGGGCCAGAAAAACGGTGGAGGCGGCCAAAATTCAAGACGCGTTTTGAGCTCCAGAGTCGCTAAATGGGACTCGAACCGAACGTGTGACCCCACCAATGGATTGCTCTCCGAAAGACGAATCCATTGGTGGGGTCACAAGCTTGGTTCGAGTCTCATTTAGTGACTCTGGAAAAACTCGTCTAGAGTTTTAGCTGGTCTTCTGGCCCACTGTGGTGCGGTGGGGTGGCCGAGGCCGAGGCCGTGGCCGCGCGTCTCCGAGATAAGGCACACCCTGGGCGGGGCCTGGGCGGGGCCTGGTCCTGACATTCATTGCGTATGCAGGCGTTTCATCGTCCGCAAGGACCTCGCCTGGCAGCCCGGCAGGCAGCCTGCCTTGGATCGGGCGCGCGAGCAACAGCGTGCAGTGCATGGCCAGTCAGAGCGGCCCCGCCCCGCCCCGACCCGCCCCGCCACGCAGCCAGTGTTCGGACTTTTGACTTGGCGGAATCGACTGCCTCTAGAGGCGACTGGGACCAGCCGCTCTGAAAATGAGTGAGAAAGGCAAGACATTGGCGCGAATGCTTGTCATCCGAACGTGCCGCTGAGTCATTTCGGCACGCAAAGGACCCAGTCCCGACCCTCAGCCCGGCGGGGCGGCACACTGGCAGAGCCGAGCATACCAAACCCTAAAACCTCCATTTTGAAAGAAACGGAAAAGAGAAAAGACGTGGCCTGATATTTGTGGCGGACGAGATCATTTTTGCGGGCGGAGAGAAGACTGTCGAATCGGGGAGCGGAGAGTGCGAGAGAGCGCAAACAAGAGGACAATAAAGATGGTCTGGGAGATAGTGGCAGACGGTGGCGCCACCCTCCGAGGCCGTCGCCATCGGCACGGCGCCCACGGCAGCCGCGGCGGCAGCCCCCTCGCTCCCCTCCACTCCGTCCACACCGGTGTCCAGACTGATTCAGCGCAGCGTTCCGTCGCCCCGTCCTGCTCGCACCTCCACAGGGTGCCACGACGCCTAGAGGGCCCCAGGGAGCGCGAGCGAGACAGAGCGACGACAGCGCCACTTCGGCCTCATTTGGATATATCAATTCACGGCCACGGACCGCGGAGAATATTCTATTCCATTCTCCATGCTCGGGCGATGCATTTCGGCGCTTCGGCCGCCCCTGCCCGCCCCTGCCCGCCCCTCCCACTCGGCCGTCCACGATTTGCCCCCGCGGGCTCCATCTTCCCGTAAAGCAAAAGTGATACTCCCTGCTCCCCCCTGCCGACTGTTTCCGAGAGTCGCTCTCGTCGCTCTGTCTCTCTCGCATCCATGCGGGACGCCCCGTGAGTGGGAGAGAGACTCTCGGCACCAGCGTGCTGGCTGGCCAAGAGAGGAGCCCGGGGCGCCTGGAGGGAAAAGAAAAAAAAGGGGGCGGGGGTTGGGGGCCGGCCGCTGGGCGGCCAGCAGCGGCCCGGGGCGAGCGTCCTGGCCGGCGCCGGCCTTGCTACATTTAACACGTCCAGGAAATGGAGCGGAAGTCGATCAAGCACGTCACCCGGGGCGTGCAGGCCGTGCAGGCTGCAATCACCCGCCGGGTGGAGAAGGGGCGGGGGCGCGGGGGGCAGTCTGGAAAAACAAACCGTGTTGCTGCAGAGGCAGACTCGCGCAAAGTCGACACGCCAAACGACATTAGCCCGACATCAAACGGCGGCACCGGGAGGGGGGCCGCGGCTAACCCCATCCCACCCCATCCCCGGCCTTTTCCCGCTGGCTCTCGTATTGCACTCATCTGCCAATAAGGGCCGGGGGGCGATTAGATAAGAATGCCTGCCGGCCCGCCAGCCCCGCCAGCCCCGCCAGCCCCGCCAGCCCCGCCCACCTGGCCCGCCTTCGCCTCAATGTCCCGGGTCGCTCCCCGATAATGGCGGCGTAGTTTTAATCAGGGCACCGCGAGGCGAGGCGCGAGGAGTCTGATGGCGCCACCCGCCACACAAAGGCGGCAGCGCGGCAGCCCCTCGGAGGGCTCGCAGCGAGGCTCCCCCCTGGAAGCCCCCGCCAGGCCGCCAGGCCGCCAGGATGCATCAGATTCCGACCGACGATCCTCCAACTCCAGCCCCGGCCCCCTCCGCCCCTCTGCTCACGGCGGTCGGACCGCAGGCCTGGCGACGCCTTCCTGCCTGGCTGCCTGCCTGGCTGCCTGCTTGGCTGCCTGCCTGCCTGGCTGCCTGCCTGCCTGGCTGCCTGCCTGGCTGCCTGCCTGGCTGCCTGCCTGGCTGCCTGCCTGGCTGCCTGCTTGGCTGCCTGCCTGCCTGGCTGCCTGCCTGGCTGCCTGCTTGGCTGCCTGCCTGCCTGGCTGCCTGCCTGCCTGGCTGCCTGCCTGGCTGCCTGCCTGCCTGGCTGCCTGCCTGGCTGCCTGCCTGCCTGGCTGCCTGCCTGCCTGGCTGCCTGCCTGGCTGCCTGCCTGCCTGGCTGCCTGGCTGCCTGCTTGGCTGCCTGCCTGCCTGGCTGCCTGCCTGGCTGCCTGCTTGGCTGCCTGCCTGCCTGGCTGCCTGCCTGCCTGGCTGGCTGCCTGCCTGACTGCCTGCCTGGCTGCCTGGTCGAGGAGCCACAAGTAATAAGTCCCTCCAATCCCCGCTCAACTCGTCAACTCGCCGGCTTCCGGCTTTCCTTCGCATCCTGCAGCCTGATTCCCAGAGAAGTTTTCGTCGCTCGCTCTCCCTCGGGACCATACTGCACGCCCCACAAGTGCGACAGAGACAGAGCGACGCAAACCATTCTCAGTCCGCTGCGTGCTGCGCGGCTCGGGGACTCGGGAAGGACGGCACAATGCCGCCATTTTTACAGTGGGTCGAGCGAGGCGAGGAAGCGAGACAGACAATGCCGTGAGTCCGTGTGCGGGCGTTGCGGACGGTGCGGTCCGAGGGGGCCACCACCCCCGTAATCCTGTGTACAAATTGGCTGGTAATCCCTGGTAATCCATGGCGTAATCACGTAATCCTTGAAAAAATTCTGTCATTTTTCAACGTTTTTAGTCATTTTTCAACGTTTTTGAGCTATTTTTCAACGTTTTCGAACCAATTTTCGAAAATTTCACGCGTAATCCCTAGTAAATTTCCCGTAATCCCGTAATCTTGTGTACGCCTGAAATGAGAGTGGTGGCCCCCTCGGTGCGGTCGCACCAGTGCAGTGTAGCTCCAGGAAGACCCGCCTCGGCCCTGCCCGGCTTTGCCCCCGGCGGTCGATTCCCCGCCATGCCCTGCCATCGAGAGCCAGAGCGCAATCACTGGGCTTCTGTTGCAGCGCTGGCTCGTCAGTGTACAAAATCATTAGGGGAATCCTCAATGCCGTCGGTTTTTTTTTTTTTTTGGAGATGAACGATTTGTATACGACTTTGTACGCGATGTTGCACAAAAATGGGGAAACATGTGCAGTTTCTAGCATGACGAACAGTAACGTCTCGCGCAAAACAGTGTGTTGGTGCGCTGCGTCCTCTGCACGTGTGAAGTACTAAGCTGTGGAGTGTGGAGTACTCACCAGGGTCCTGGTGCCGGAAGTTCCTGGCGAGGAAGCACAGCTGCAGGGGCAGGTAGCGGGTGTCGGCGCGCTGCGGGGAGCGCGGCGCGGGCGGCGCCCCGGACAAGAAGCCTCGCTGCAGCTCCCAGCCCACCTCGGAGATGATGGACGCCTTGCGGAAGTACGGCGTCACCTCGCGCAGGTACTTGACTGCAACACAGTAAGGCGCACGTCAGTCACTTCGGCGACAAGGCCAGTCGGCGGACGCCAAAGTTTCGGCCAAGTTCGGCTCGGCCGCAGATCCTGGAAGTCCTGGAAGGCGAAGAGACGAGTCCCGACAAAGGGCAGGTGCAGTCGTCCGGGCCAGCGCGCCAGCGGGCCAGCGGGCCCATTCAGCCTGCAGGGTAGGCCCGGCCGGCCGGCGCGGCTGGTGCGGCGCTGCCTACCCTGCACTTCACAGGCGCGCTCTATCTCTCTCGCACTCACGGGGCATCCCGCATGGGTGCGAGAGAGACAGAGCGACGGGAACGCCTCTCGGAGCCAGTCCGCCTCGAGGCGGGGAACTGAGCAGTGAGCACTCTCCTCAATGAGACGGACGACAGTGCGGCGGAGCCCGGCCAGGCCGAGGCCGGGCCGAGGCCAGGCAGAGCCGCACCGAGCCAAAGATGCACCGACCAACTTCCCAACTTATCGTCTCGAGGTGACAGAGGAACGTCTCGACGGACTTAGGGAGACGAGAGACGAGAGCCCGGCCGAGGGGGAGGCAGTGCCCCTCTCACTTGACTTGGTTCTGCGGGCTGGCGGGCCAGTGGCGGGCCGGTGGCTTGACCCACCACCCACCACCGCCCCGACAGTTTGACGTTTAGACCACGCACCGGGCCCTTTGTTTACTATCGGCGGGCAGCAGGCTACAGTGCTTTGGACGCTCCGTCTCTCTCGCACTCATGGCGCGTCCCACAGGGCCGCAGGGCGCACCGGTGCGAGAGAGACAGAGCGACTCGCAATCAGTCTATGCAGGCGGCGACGGGGCGCCAGGGCCAGGCCGGAGCGGCCCCTGAGTCACAGCCTGCCGCCCGTCGGCGGGTGAGTCAGGCCGTCCGTCAGGCCCAGGGCGTCGCGCGAGGAGACCAGCGCACCGCGCACCGCTCCAGCCACGCCGTGGCGCCCTTTTATAAGCCCATCCATCGCGGCGGCCAAATTTCGGCACACCTGCCGGCGCGCCACGTCGCGCCACGCCCGCGTCCGGAACCATTCTTTTCCCCGCGCGTCCACACCGTCCATTCGCACCGCCCCCTTCCCTGCCGGTGTCGTCCAAGGGCCGGGCCGCGGCCGGGCACCGCCCGACGCCTGCATGCCGCAGCGAGCCGCAGCGAGCCGCGGGGGCGTCGTCGCGGGGCTGGCGGCTGCTCGTCACTAATGGATGCAGCCTCCTCCCCCCGCCTCCCCCGACCGCGACGTAAAAACACAGCCTTCCCCGCCCACCGCGAAAGAACTTTCGCAGGTCACCAGCCGGGGCAAGGCGGGTGAGTGGGGTGTCTCCCCTCGGACGGGGGCTTCGGGAGGAAGGCTCCAACGGCACCCCGGAGGTCTGGGGGGCAGTCCCAGAGGCCGGCCTGCGTACCGGCCAACGCCTCGGGCACGGCACGGCGCGGCACGGCGTGGCATGGCACGGCACCGCATCGCGTCCACACTCGGCCGCCACCCTTCCCCACATGCATAAATCCTGCAACTGGGAGGCAGCGAGGCGCGCGTATAGTGTAGGCACGACGCACGGCCCTTGAGGCAGGCGGCAGTTCTTGCCAGCCAAGCGCGCAGCGCGCAGCCAGGCAGCGGGAGAGGGCGTGGGTGGAGGGAGGGGGGGGGGGGGGGGCTGGGGCCACTCGCAGCGAGTTCGCAGCGAGGCGGTCCAATGCACCTGCCGTATGCTAAACGGTCCCGAGCGAACGGCGTTTCTGCGCGCTCCACTCGGCCCGCCCCGCCCCGCGCGGCTTCCGCGATCTGCCATCTCGTCGAATTAGAGACGCCGGCTCGCTCCCACTCGTCCCGCTCGCGTTCCAGCCTCGTTTGCCTAACAAGGCTTCGCTGGCTCGGCTGGCTCGGCTGCTGCACTGCGCTGCGGAGAACGGCGGCGCCATGCAGCCCGCCGAGCACTAACCGCGGCCACGGCTTCGACGTTGTCAACGCTGTGCACTGCACTGGAAGTCTGGAAGCACCGCCCACTGCAAACATTTCGGCTGGCACTCCACACAGTGACACGGCGGCTGATGTCCCTCGCAACCACGGTGTAGGGTGTAGGAACAGCGCATCCTGGCGGAGCGTTTGGAACTACGAAACGGGCCAAAAACGAGCTTCACTTCGCAGCGCCTCTCGCTGCACCGTGCTCGCAACCAAGTCAAATGCCGCGACGGGTTCTTGGTGAGAATCTGGGAGAGTGTCTGTCTCATTACAAGATGTATCATTGAGCAGGAAGGGGCATCACGGCAGGCCGGCAAGTCAGGCCACCACTGTCGGCCTGTCGGCGCGGTAACACACTGCAAAATGCAGCGGGACGCAACCGTGCCACTGCACGCGACAGGCCGACCTGCTGCAGCAAGCCGAAGGCTCAAGGCGTCCGAAGGCACAGCGCGCACAGCGCATTACCGACGACGGCGGCTGGACGAAGCATCGCCCGAAGAGGGGAGGGGGTCGGAGCCGGAGGGGACGGTGAAACATTCAAATACCCGACCGACGGCCCCCACGGCCCCGACCCAGACGGCACTCGACTCCTCTGGATGGCAGCGGGAGAGCCCGCCACTCGGCGGGAGGCCGGGAGGGTGGACAATGACTCGAGACTCGATTGTCTAGTGCGTGACTGCCTTGACTTGTCTCTGACTTTTTCACTTTGCAGCGGACTTTTTCGACTTATTGGATGCAGCGTAGCGTAAACACCCCTTGAACTGAGGCAATCCTCCCAAAAAAATCAATTAAAATGGACTCTTTCAGGTCCCGGACAACGACTTTGGAGAGTCGTCGCCCCGCGATCAACACTCCGAGCGAGCAGGGCCCCGAGGAGCAGCCTCCACACGACGGCATCCCATCGCCCCGCCCCGCCTCGCCCCGTCCGCTCGGATCAGGACGAGAAATAGAGCGGAACGGGCCTAATGGGGCACGCTGCGCTAGCTGCGCTAGCTGCACCACTAAGTGCATGCACGTCGCCGGGAGCAGGAGGAGGAGGAAGGGGGGGGGAGACCATCTTCCGGGAAAAGAACAAAATTCAAGAGCAGTGCGCGGTCCGGCGAAGGCTAACCGGAGAGCTGCCATGTCTGATGGGCCGCGGAGATCCTCCACCGTAAGAAAGGTGTCCTCGTCCCGAAATTTCGACGCCTCAACGCTCTCGACTCCACCCTTCTTTGGATGTGTTTAGTCGTCCTCAGGGGCTGCCAGGGCCAGGCTGGGCAACACGCGGCCCGCCGCTTGGCTCTACTGCGGACAATCGACGTAATTTAATGAAGCCGAAACGAGCTTAAATTACTAATCAGCGAGCGAGCAAGCGAGGCGGAGCGGGGCAAAGTAAACATTTGACCGCGGGGCGGCCGCGGGCCGCGGCGCCTTCGAGCCGGGAACGGCGTGGTTCGTTGGAACGATAGACGCCTTTTACCCTGTTCAAAGTGGCCCAAGTCCGCACTGCGAGACTTTGCACGGCAACCTCCGCAGAGCTCTGGCGGCTGGCCGTGGCGTCGTGGCATGCTGGCTGGCATACTGGTGCTACCGCGCCAGGAGCCGGCATTGCCAAATTACTTTTCATGCTCAAAAGTGGAGCGGTTGCGGGCCACAGTCTGCGCTCAAGTCTCAGATAGAGTCCGCTGCCGCCAGGGCTGCCCACCACGGAGGGAGCGGTCGCCGTCGCGGCGTTGCCCGGCGTTGCCGCGGGTCAGCACGCCTTCCGCGACGCCGTTGCAGCGTATTGCAGCGTATTGCAGCGGGCGCCGCCCGATAAAGGCGCCGCGGGGCGCCGGGCCATCCGGGCCGCCAGGCCGCCTCAATGGTTCCGCTCTCCCTCCACGGAGCTCCGCGGACGCCGCTCGCTGGCAATTGCCACAATCAGGGAGCGGGACGGCCGCCTCCCGACGGCCATTGGCGGACCGGCAGGCCGGCGCCACCACCATGGCCAGAGTCAACACGCCCAGGCTGACGAGGCCTCTCTGCTGTCGCCCCGCTCCACTCGCCAGAAGCTTCAGTCAAACTTCTGACACCGACGGGAAGATAGGAGCGCTGCCGAATCGGCCGCCGTCATCGCTTTGTGGGCCTCTACTCTCTGATGACGTGCGTCCGCCTGCAGGGAGTGCGAGGGACCGCATGGCGCGCATCCCCCTCCTCGGAGTACACCACCATTCACGTAAGGGACAATATTTCCTCAGATTTCGCAAAATTTCAAACGATAATACGCCCAAATTTTGCCTTTTGTTTGCCTTTTTTGGAGAAGATTTCAGATGTTTCAGAGTTTTAGGCACTCCAGTGAACGCTCTACGAGTGGCTGTCCCCTCGATACGGTGTGTCGTCTGGCACTGGACAAGCAGCAGCGGCCGCTGGCTGCATGTCGATGGCGCGCCGCGCTGACTGACAGTGGACATGAGCCTGCCACACCGCAAACAGCCCCCGGCGGCCCCAGGCCATCCCATGACCTGGGCGCCCTCAGCCCGCGGGACCATGGCCACGGCTAGGCCACGGCTCACCTGCACACGGGAGACTCAAGTGCAGCCCGCAACAAGAAGCTGGCTCAAGCACTCCTCTCCCTTCCTTTTCCACAGTGAAAACTTTCGTTGTCACTTGATGACAATGTGAAGGCTAATTACTTGTCCTTACAAGGAAGTCATCAAACCAGTTTCGATGACATTCGTGTCACGCCCATGCAAGGACCTTTGATGAATACGTCAGCAACTTTCATCACTTTAAGGCGATGTGAAATGTCGTCATAAGGGACATGAAGTTTTTCCAGTGCAGCATCCAGCCCAAAAGCCTTTCACGGCCGCTCCCGTTTTCGAGTGCAGACCTAGCTGGAGCCTCGCTGGAGCCTCGCTGGAGCCTCGCTGGAGCCACGCTGGAGCCTCGCTGGTGCCTCGCTGGAGCCTCGCTGGAGCCTCGCTGGAGCCTCGCTGGAGCCTCGCTGGAGCCTCGCTGGAGCCTCGCTGGAGCCTCGCTGGAGCCTCGCTGGAGCCTCGCTGGAGCCTCGC